TTTAAATGCCTGCAACCGAAGCAGGCAGCAGCTGGCACTGACACGCCTTCCCCGCCCCGCAAAACGTGCAACGTTGCCTCACACACAGAGAGAGCGAGAGAGAGAGAGACAGAGACACATAACTTGGTGGCAACCCGATTGCCATTGGACACTGGACATTGGACGCACTTGGAGCATGTGTGTGCGTCGTTTCAAGCTCGAAAATAGTTTTTGCCAAAGCCGCACACACACACACACACACATACAAAGAGAAACACTCATGGATGGCGGCAGAGGCAGCCTTTCGAGCAGGACCTAGGGTCAGGAGCAGGACCAACAGGAGGCCAAGCATCGCCCTCATGTGCATCGTAAAAAATAAGCAGCAGCAAATTGTATTTTTATGAGCTGAAACTGTTTTGGGGCCACATTTCAATGTCGATAAAAACAACGATGGCCAACAGCAGCAGCAGCAACAAGGAACCGGAAATAACACCCGAAACCAAACCCGAAACCGAATCCGAATTCGAAACACAGCCCGAACCGGAACCGGTTACTGAAACTGAAACAGTACCAAAACTGACAACAACAAAAGAATGGCGGACATCAAATACCTTTTTGAAAACATATTCTTTGCAATTGTTGTAATACACACAAATAGATATATATTCCTGTACTCTAAAATAATATATATTTAGTAAGGAAAACATTTTCCAAATTTTCGCCGACTGTAAGCTACAAATATTAAATATGGAAAATCCGTCTAAAATATACCTATAAAAGATATGCATACATGTATATAATAAAACAACTCAAACTATCTAAATACTGCATAAGGAAGGCTTTGCAGATGTTATCAAAATGCGGATAGGGTATAATAAGGAAAAGGAATCTGGCAATGTGGAGAATGTTAAGTGGGAAATAAGGAACGAGGAACGGGGAATAGAATGTGGACAAGGCTAGTGTTAACCGGCAACTGGCAACAACAATAAAAACTGAAACAAAAACTTACAACAAATTACAAATAACGAGCCAAGGACCGTATGAGTATCTGTCTGTGTGGGAAATGGGTTTTGAGAGCTATATGGGGTGAGGGAGGGGGAGGGGTGGGGGCTGGTCAGAAACTAATAGAAAAGCGTGTAGGAAAATTGCATTGGCCAGCAATGGGAAACGTGCCATGACCGAGCCGGCTAAATATTCATTAGAGCTAATTAAACATGATCTGCCCCGGGCGGCAGACCACCAGGCAGACACTCGTTGTCGAAAATGTCGACGGATACGGAGACGTAGAAACGGAGACGAAACCGTAGCCGGACAACTAACTAACTGACCAACAAAACAACTGGCCAAGTGTAACAAGACATGCAACTGGTCAATCCGGTTCAGTTTTGGCCAGCGTGGGAAGTTAATTGGACAAATACCGAGGCGATAGCAGCTGCATTTAATAAAATGTGTATACATGGCGAGATGGTGAGTAAAATTGTTAACGAATCGGATATGTCGTATAGTAAACAAATGAAACGTCTGCCAAAAACAAATTCCAACATAACGTTACAATTTCATTGGAAAATGCATGATTTCACGTGTAAAATTGGTCGAATTGGCCAAATTGAAATTGGAGAACACGCCAGGAACACGGTATGAAAATCAATGGCAAATGCGAAAGGAATTTAGGAATTGGAATTTCGATTCTGATACGAAAAGTACGAGTATGAACATTTCTGTTGATATTCCTGCATTTATTCAAACTTTTTTATGGTCTCCGGTTACGTATTGCTACATTAATTTCCATTATTTCGCGTTCTACGCTGAACCCATTAAAATGGGCTTAGAGTGTATAATGATGTTGTGCAATAGTCTGTATAACGCAGAAGGAAGCCTTGTCAGTCAATCATATGTGTAATTATTTTAATATAGATTCGGCTCGAGTATATTCTGTATGGGTATAAATAAGTGTGTATTTCGAGTTAAATATAAATGTTTAATTATGCATATAATATGCATATTAATTAAAATCGGTGACTGGGTGAGTGTGTGTGTGTGTGTGTGTGTGTGTGTGTGTTGTACGTGTGCGTGTGTCTAGTAAATAAATACAATTAGCTGGAACGGCCGCTGTGTGGCCTGCCAAAATGAGATGACACTAAATCAAAGTTATTCTACGCACGTCGTTAAGTCATTAATCGAACAATGCGCGGCAGCAAGATACCTCCCTACCAACACAGACCACCACACCATCACACACACATACACCTACACATGATGCTGTAACATATGCTGAAATCGTCGCCTCGACGCCATCACGTTGACGACCATGTTGGCACATAATAATAACAGCACAAGCGCCAGCGCCAGCGCCTGCCACACCCGCACTTCCCCCTGGCAACGCCTTCCATGCCCCTTTGAATGCTAATAATAATGATGATCCTGTTGTGGCTGTTGTCTCAAATAACCGCGGGGCAAACACAATGCCAATCGCAATCGCAATGGATGCCACATAGCATCAAAGATTCAACCACATCTGAGAGTTGTTCGGCTGCATTATTAAAGTCAAGACGCAGCTAAAACGTCGCCAGGCATATTGCCCATACACACACTACTCACTACTCAATTTCGTCCCCAAAACAACTATCCACTCCCCAGTGACCACTTGTGTGGTCAGGATTTGCTGGTCGTCTTGCGGTGTCATTTTCTGAGCTGTCGCAATCGCAATTCAAGTGCAATTGACAAGTGCCCGGCGCAGTGTGAACAATGACAATGTCGCACCACACTCCAACAGCGACTAACCCAATCCAACCGAATCCCACACAACACGTAGTGCCCATGTCTCACCCATCCCCGTTCTCCTGCCAATCTTTTGCCATCCGCAATCTGAATTCAATTGATGTTAATTTTTTGCACCTGTTTGGCTTGAAAAAAAAGAAAAAAATTAAAAAATACAAATATATGTATTTTTCACCTACCAATGCTCGACTAATTATATCCTCTTGTATATATTTATTCCATTTTAAATATTACAAATCACAAATTAAAACTTTTGATCAAGCAATGGAAGCTGATAATCTGAAAGTGTTCAATGTAATTGCAAGTTCTTGAGATTCTCCGATTGAAACATGTTAAAGTATCTGTAAACAGCAACTTTTGGTTCCAATGGCAAATCTGAATAAGTGATCCGATCTGGCCAACTCTGGCACATATGCGAAGATAGCTTATCAAGTTTATTACTTAAAATCTGAGGGAATAGTTTGCATAGACATGGCTAGCGATGCTAATGAATTATATATATATATATATATATATATATATATATATATATATATATATATATATATATATATATATATATACTTTATGGAGTCGGATAAGTCTTCTGTAATGCGTAACAAGCTTCGCGACAAAGTGCTAATACCCGTTGCAAATATGTGGGTACAGGGTACAGAGAAAAAGTGTGACCGCAAGCGAGGTTACACAGCTCGGCAATAGGATTATGCCAGGCCGTGGAGGTGGACTCCATCAAAGCCAAAACAACCGCAACCACGCATAATTGTTCAATTTATTTATTTAAGCGCCAATTGCGCAGTGACCTGGTCCCCTATCAAAATGTGAGCATTCTGAGCGTGGCAGGAGTCAATGAACATTTTTCGGTTATTGCGGTCAATGCGAAACAGTTTTAAACAATATATATGAAATTGTAAATAAATATTTAAAACTGTGATGACAGCATCACACGCACACGCACACGCACACACTAAGAGACAGGAGCAGGTAGAATAGGTGGCACCACCTGGTGGCAAGCGATCAAGTCGTGGCTCTTTTGCCAAATTAGTTGGCTTTATACTGTGCAGTTTATGGCAATCATTGGACGCCGAAAAGAAATCAATGGGCGACGACAAATTATAATTATAATATGTATTTGGTATTGCAGAGAGCATTGTAAGTAAAAGGGAAAGGGAGGAGGAGTGGGGGACTGGGGGGCGGGGAGAGGAAGAGGAAGAGGGAGAGGAATGGTTGGTGTGTGCGCTAGCTAGCAATGAGTACTCGACTAATTAGTCTCCTGAGCGTGTTCGCTGATTCCCGATGCCTGATTATAGTAAATCTCTGGTCACGCACCAGCGAAAGAATTCATAAATTTAATTTGCCGTCAAGCGTATGAAGCAGGAGGGGAGCTAGTTACGTCATGGGTTGGGGCTGTCGTAGGAGGATGAGGACACGTCGTAGCAGCAGTGGCAGCGGCAGCAAACGAATTCCCACAATAAACATTTGCACGGCAGCCGCGTGCCCAATGATAATGATGATGTTGAATGTTCACAATGATTATAATGATATAGGCGGGGGGGAGGGACGAGAGTCGCGTAGATGAAGTGGAGGGGCGTAGATGAAGGAGGGGGCAAAGGGAGTAGCTGGTAATGACGCTGGATGACAACACAGCATTGGGAATTACTGGGCGCCCCCCTCGTATTTTGTATATGCAGTCATGTAGCATCGATTAATCATTTTATTATTATTGTTGCCGCCATTCGTTGCCGTTCCCAGCGCTCGTGATCCTCATACATACGCTGGATGTACAGGCGCATAGCTGAGAGGGGGAGGAGCGGGGGCGGGGGATTGGTTGCTGTAGACAATATTATTATGCGTGCCAAATAGCAAAAGTCATGCAATTCATGCTGAAAAGCCCCCTAACCTTCACCCCACTCGATCGCAGCAACGGTAAATGCTAGCGCAAACAAACATTTGCATTTTTTTCTCTCTGACTTAGTAACGTTTAACGTTGTCAAAACTTTACTGTTAAGCTAATTTTTTATTTGCCACAATATTAAATTGTTGAATTTGATTTTGACACAAAGCTGAGCTGGCAGCGCATTAACCAACACTGTTTTGCATGTTTTTCGCCTGTGCCAGAGCGAGGCAGCAATACTATCAGAGCAGCCCATTAGTGTGTGCTCAAGCACTTCTCTCACTCGCTCTCTCGCTAGCTTGTCATTCGATAATTATTTTAAACTATTCTCGGAACAGAAGAAAGCAACAGAATACTAGAACAAATAGAAACAAGTGCATTATGTACGCCGCAGTGAAGCCCCTTTCGAAATATCTTCGATTGAAGACGGTGCGCATCTACGATCCGATATTCACACTGCATTCCAAGTGCACCATTGTCATCCTGCTGACCTGCACATTCCTGCTGTCGGCCAAACAGTATTTTGGCGAGCCAATACTCTGCCTCAGCACCGCAAAGTATACGGAGTACGTTCAATCCTATTGCTGGACCATGGGCACCTATATACTGTCCCCGTATAATAATAGCATTGATGGTAGCAAATCATCGCCACCGATGGAACACCTAAAGCCACAGTCACAGTTACAGTCACAGCACCCGCCACGCTCGATGGCCCTCAGTGAAGACAGCATGCGCATCCTTTTGGCCCAAAATGAGCAATACGTTCGCATGGTTTCCATAGCGGAGGGCGTTGGACCCGAGACGCGCGGCGTTACGAAGCGGATGTATTTGCGTTATTATCAGTGGATATTTATGATATTGCTGTTCCAGTCGCTACTCTTCTACTTCCCCTCGTACTTGTGGAAGGTATGGGAGGGGCAGCGCATGGAGCAGCTGTGCTGCGAAATCGGTCATGCGCTCATCCTGGAGGAGACCTATCAATTGCGACTGCGCATGCTAACCAAATACTTTCTGGCCAACTTCTCCGCCATCCATTGTTGCTATGCCATCAAGTATGCCTTCTGCGAGCTTCTCAATCTGATCATTAGCGTGAGTATCGAAATTGACGGCAAGCGAAAGTAAGATCAGCTAAAGCTAATGCAGTAGGGATAAATGATAAATGATTTAATTATGCCACAGATTAGAGATTATAGATCTAGTTTAATTTGCAGTTGCTCAACTTTTGGCTCATGGACGTCATATTTAATGGATTCTGGCACAAGTATATTCACGCACTGGCTGCGATACCCGTTTACGATTGGAATCTGTGGAATTTGATGAGCTCACGCGTATTTCCCAAGGTGGCCAAATGCGAGATGTTCATCTATGGGCCGAGCGGCACACCCAATATACTGGACATACTCTGCCTCCTGCCGCTCAACATTTTGAACGAGAAACTCTTCGCCGTACTCTACGTGTGGTTCCTCTTCATTGCCATGCTGGCTGCCATCAATATACTCTATCGTCTGTTGCTTGTGTGCTGCCCGGAGCTGCGTCTGCAGCTGCTGCGCACCCATCTGCGCGGCATGCCCAAGTCGCATGTGCGTCAGGTTTTGGCCAGCGCCTGCTATGGCGATTGGTTTGTCCTCATGTGCGTCAGCATCAATGTGAATCCAACGCTCTTCCGCGAGCTGCTAGAGCAGCTCTATGCGGAGATAAGTAGCGCCAGCTTCAAGAAAGCGAACGGCATGCCAGCAGGATCTGGACAGGATCAGGATGATGATCAAAATGATGACAACACCAGCTCCACTTCCTCGCTGACCAGAACGAATGGCGTCAATCTCATGCCGGTCAACTACTATACCGAGAGCCATGCATAGAAGGAGCCGCCAAGGATCTGGGAATCGCAAGATTTGTTCGTGCTACAGTTGTAATTTGTTAGTTTTATTCGTTTTCGGTTTATTTGCGCCAAGTGCAAGACAAACACGAAATACATCAAAACGCAAATAAATGCGATAATCAAAATGCTCTAGTTACAGCCATTTATGCGTATGTATAAGGGCTGATTATACTCTGCGAGCCGAGTTGGAGATGGGTATATTGGACGGACAAGCTAAATGAATCCATTTTATGTATATATTTGTTAAGAAAACAGTACGATTTCAAATGACTACGACACTATACTCAAACTCTAACTTAATATATTTAATTATATTTTATAAATGATTAGATTGCCTTAATAATCCGAATTGGAATTGTGTATGAAACACACATACGGCACATATGATATGAAAGATCTGCAACTATTCGGCTTAAAATAATAATAATAATATTTTCAATTCATGCTATTAAAGGAATGGAGTACTACGAATTGATACATATTGACAGATAGCAGCTAGCTGCTGGGTAGCTCATGGTTTAGCAATTAAGCCACTTTGGGTCTGAGGTAAATAGGTGTGGGAGTTTAGCCCGTGGGAGGCTTTAGCAAGCCGACAGGCATAACAAAAACTTTGCCAAAACTTGCTAAAAAAGTTGAACATCAGCGAGCGCGAGAGATGACGATGATTGCAAAACTCAGGTCCTCTAGCGCTTTTGGCAGTCAACAGCTGGCAGTTGCCACTTTGCCAGCTTGTCTGTTGACAGTCGGATGTGGAGCCTGACTGCCTGACTGTCTGTCTGCCAACAGGTAATACTAAAACAAACAACAACAAGAACAACACAAGATATTCTGATGGCTGATGGCTCTGACGACAACACAAATGGCGGCAATTACAAGCAGCTACAACTGCAACAACAACAACAACAGCAACAAGAACAGCAACAAGAACAACAGCAGCGGGAAAAGTAAACATCACTTTTAAGGCGGAAAACAAGCCGTGTATGCAATGGGCGGGTGTTGGTGGCCAAAGGACGGAGACGAAAGGGGTTGAACAGGGATTGGGGGCCGGGGTAGGGAATATTGGGGGCGTCAGCCAAATGGGAAAAGCGCAAAATAAACAAAGTTAATTTTAATTAAAAACCGCAGGAAACCGAAAAAAAAACAACAAAATGCTAAATAAAAGGGGCGTCACCAACAGCAATCAGGATAGAGAGGGGAGGAGGGGCGGGCAGGGGGTTGTGATAGGGGGCGTACATAGACTTTTGTGGGCGTGTCAGCGACTTGCATGTGCATATATGTAAATAGCGCACTGCGCAAGGGGAGAGGCAGGCAAACGCGACGAAGCCGAAAGACACGGCAAACAGATGCAGAAACGGCATCAGACAGAGACAGAAAGCGAATGAATAAGAGCGACAGAGAGAGAAAGAGAGAGAGAGAGATATTGACAGAGCGGGTAAGGGAGATGCTGTCCCTCAAACCAGCAATGATAACTGTAACAAAGACACATGTAAACAATTTGGTTTCATACCCTGCAACGGCGCCTAGTCATACCCTATACACATTCGCTAAATAAGGCATACTTGGAAGATATAGATTTTAAACCGTTCGTTTTTTTGATTTTACAATTAATAAATAAAAGTAAAATGTTGATGGGCTTGTGGTATATGCACACTTGCCATTATTACGGCCTATAAACTTAAATGATGATCTGTAGTTGGGTAGTCGTGTAGTTGATAGTCCAGCACTCTCGTTTAGAGCGTTACTTGCTCGTTTTAATTATGCAAAGCGAAAACTTTGTAAACTTCAAAGTTGAAAAAGAGCAACGGTTTAAGGATTTTAACAAGCTTCCAGCCAGCAGTAAGAGCTTAGAGCACCACTCTTCCAGATCCACACCAATCGCAAATCCACCCGCCCACATACGCTCCGACCTACTCCACGGACCACTTAGATAGTTTCTGAATGCCTTTGGTTTTCGCTCTAGCAATATTAATAAGAGTATTGCCGAAAATCGTAAACTGAATAATAACACTTTAGGAAGAAGAACTATTCTAAAGCGAGAAAAGAAGACTCTCTTCAACCTGGGGAGAGATCCACCAATCTGCATGGCCTGGTGTAATATACACGGCTAAGAGACATTATTAAGCACACAGCATACACACACACACACACACACACACACACACACACACACACACATCAAACATCAACATACACAACCACCGCAGGGAACGTCTCAGAATGTTTAGCCAAGCATTTATTCCAAGTAACTACTATCTATCAAATGGGGTCCCACTTGCATGTGAGCAAGGGAACCCAGACACAAAGTCAGGCAAACCTCTGGGTTTCTCCATTGGTTCCACACTTTAGACTCTTCACTCTCCCTCTCTCTCTCTCTCTCTCTTTATCTGCTGCCCCTTCCCCTTCCCCTTGCTTTGTTAAAGCTTTGGAATTTGTGTGTTGTTTTTGCTGGCGACGCAGGCGATGCGAACAAAGCAAATGACAAATAAATTAACAAGTTAATTGAGTTTCGTGCCAGGAACGCAACCCCACAAAATAGAAAGAGACAGAGACAGAGAGAGAGAGAGAGAGAGAGACAGAGAGAAAGGGGGAGAGGTGCTTAGGCTAAGTTAGGTCTTTGAGGCGGCCTGAAAAATGCTTGTCCGCTGTTCAGTTATTAACAATAAACAATTAATGCTAAATCAATAAGCAAAACATATTGGAATTTGTCGCGACACGGAGAGTAAGGGGGCAATGGCATAGTAATTTATATGCTAATCCTTAACCAGGCGTTACCGCCTAGAGACATGCGGCATCGTACCCACTCTGGCTGTGGCTTAGCTATTAAATCTTCTCTCTTTCTCTGCAGCTACAGCATTTGAAGTTGATATGAGTTTGGCAATTCGGCAAATTAATTAAAATTTGGCCAAGCCACGAAATTATCGTACGCCAGGGCAGGGCAGTCAGGACAGTCAGGACAGCCAGGAAAACAAGGATGCGTCGGCGCCACACACACACACAGACGGACGGACGGATAGATTGCTGCAACGCGCTGCAACCGTTGCAACTGCAGCCGGACATGTGTAACAAAATAATTTTTCAATTACATTTTCGGGTTTCGTGTGCGGTGCGAGTCCTATGGTCTCTTTTAAGGGCCCTGACCACTTCCCCTGCCAACTCTCATGCAACCCCCAACCACACGGCAGAATACTACTGCCTGGATACGGGCCAGGTGCATGCGGGCCAGTTGCATAAGCACTGCGTGCGGTAAGCCTCGGTGCTGGCCCTTGCACACTGCAACCGCTGAAATTAAATTGAGAAATTCACGTTTTAAGTTTTTGTTTGAAATATTCAAAATCAAACTGTTATATCCTTTCCAGTAATTGCCCAAAGGACGAAGTTCTTTCAACATTATGAAGCCCTTTTTATATCAAATGTTGAAAATACGTATTTTTGAAATTAATTCGAGAAACTCACGTTGTAAGTTTGTGTTTGGAAAAATGCAAATTGTTATATTCAAATGGTATATCTGTTATCGCCAATAATTGTCCAAAGTCCGAATTTCTTTCAACCTTATGAAGTCCTTTAATTTAGTCGAAAATTACATAAATACAAGCATTTCTTATAAATTATTTTTATTAGCTCTAGGACCTTTTCATCAGTCAGCGTGCACTTTAAATGCTGATAAGTATTTGTCATGCACTTGTCAAATTTTCATGAGCTGCGCAATACTGTAATATATGTTTAATTTATTTTTCGACAATTTCTCCCATTTAATTGGTTTTTTTTAGAAATACTTTTTTTTTGGGTATTTTCGAATATGCTGTATGAAAACGATATATAAATGTAATTGCTTTGCAGTCCATGGTTGCCATCAACAAACTGATTCAATTACACAACGGTACAGGTGTGGGTATTCCTTTTATGTAAACACAACCACAGTTGGGATGGCTGGGTGGTTATGTGTTTAGATGGTTGGTTGAATGGTTGGATGGTTGGATGGCTGGATGGCTGCATCGACAGCTCATCGACACGATTCGACTGGTTGTCCGTCTCATTTTAATTAATTATAATTGCTCGCATTTTTGATTAGTTGGCACCCAACTGACAGATATGGTCTTCTGTCCGCCTTTTTGGCCAGTGCTCTGTAGTAAACATTTTACGTAATTGGGCACACATTTAAATTGCGTTCACATTGCATACAATACGTCAAATGATGTTGCCAAATTAAATCTTGCTTTCAATTTTCTTATCTATACGCAGGTAGGTTGATTGATATGTTATCCAACGGTGTTTAGAGTATATCGATAGCAATTATCAATTTATTAACGTCTCGTTGCTCTTAAGCCAAGTAAGCTTTATTTCCATTTCGTTGTGGTAAGGCCTCAACCAGCTTTAAAAGCAACTCTCTCCCCTTCAAATTAGTACTCTCGTATCAGGGATAAATCAGGGATTGTCGCAGGGATTGAAAGCATCCATACATATTATTAATGATATAAGCCGATTAATGATTTTAATTTGGAAAAACGAATCGATAATATATAAACAGAAATATCTGCACTTCACGGCAATATACAAATTGTATACTTCTGGGGCGACCGTCGGGTTCTGCCTAACACAAGAAGCCACAGGCTGTCGACTGCCGGCTGCCGGCTGCCGTCTGTTGACTGCTCCTGGCAGTTATAAGAAACAGAAGAGCAACGAGCATCTCTGCAGTTACTCATAAGCCTGGTTAAATCTTCAACTTGGAATCCGACTCGCCACACCATCGCACAACCACAACAATGAATGCAGTTGCCCACAAGCACTACGCTTCTCCAGCTGCACACTTGCACGTCTGACTGTCTGTTGTCCAGTTGTTGCCTGTTCGCATGTGGTCGTTGTACTGGTCCTGGTCCTGGCGCTGTCCAGATGCATTTTGCATAAGGTTTTTCAGCCCACTGCTCATATTGGTTTGTAATTTATTTATATTGTCTCGGTAAATATTTATGCACATATTTTTATTGATTTATAAATCAATTGCGAGCAGCCCGAAACAGTTTCACAGATTCTGCACGACACTGAGCTGGCCAGGACTGGACCTCAGCAGACAGCCAGGCCATTTATCACTTGCAGTTCTTGTCGAAGTCTAACGATATGTGGGGCAGGCGCTTCGTTTAAGGGTTGCGGGTTGGAGTCCTGACTTTGGCAGTAATTAACGCTCGGGCGACTTAAGCAGCCTTTTGGCTCACTTAACCCAGTTTGCCATCAAGAGAAATTACCTGAAAACCATTGGCATTGAACCCTTTGGGACCGGCAGCGTCGCTCGTCCCTCGTCCTTCGTTCTTTGACGCACTTAAGTGTCCTGTTATGTATCTGCTGGCATCTGCAAGTTGCTTGGCGCGCCGAAAACTTCAAAGCTAATCCCTCCCACACACACACACACCCACATACAGACACATACACCGCTTATGGCCGCATACAATTAAAGTGAATGCGTATTTCAGACCGCCTTTCGCCTTTCTCTTAGCCCGTTTTGCGGGATTAGGCCAAAATGGCATGCTGAGTGCCCCTCAGATTAGTCGCAATTGGCCATGAGCAATCGTCTGTTTCCCACTCCCGCCAGTCTCTTGGCTAAGTTGAGTTTGGCCCATTGATTTGATTTCATCTCTTGCTCAATTGTCTGGTTGCCTGGCTGACTGAATGCCTGATTATGCCACGCCTACAGCCGACAGCTTACAGCTAACGTGACATTCTTTAAAGTTTTGCTTTTCTTCGGCTTTTTTCCTCTTGCTCCATCTACGTACACTCAGAGCGATTTTACGACAATACAAATCTTGTTAAAATAACCTCTTCTCGATCACACTGCAAAATTCACATATCTAAAAAGTGATTTTGTTTGAAATTTACAATAAAAAAAACCTATTTATGTATTTAACTTACATATCCTGGCAAGGAGAATGCCTGTTGATTTATATTAAATGAAAATTAAGGACAGTACACTCAAAACGTTAAACGAAAGCTCTTCGGAGAAACTTAAACTCAGTGAAGTGCCAAACTCTTTAATTAAGCTCAAATCTCAATTTAATTAGATTTCATTTAAATTGAAGGAATATACTCACATCGAATGAAGAACTGCTATCTGAGTCACAGCAAAAAAAAGTCCTGTTCACGTCTGCATTGCAAATACAAAATAGTTTTTCAATACAAAATAGTTGTTCACTTGAAATAGTTTTTCAAGTGTATATACACTTATATATGTGTGTTTATAGTAAATTTGAAAAATATTTCACAGGCAATTTCGCATGCTGAGAGACATATTCTGTGTGTCCTAAGTCCGGCGACCTGCGTCCTGCGGCGCTGCCAGCCAGCCAGTCAGGCAGCATTCGCTTTTGCGCATACTTTCACAAACGGTGATAAAAAATTCAGTTCACGTCCCAAGCACTTATTGATACGTGAGCATAGATGACACACACACACACACACACACACACACGCACACACGCCTCCATAAATTGCGCATATATATGCATAGAACCTGCGTGGGCATCTGTGGGCGTGTGTGTGTGTGTGAGTGTCTGTATGTGAGTGTGCGAGGGACAGTTAAGATGAAAACCTGCCTGTTTGGTGTGAGAATCAACGCAAAAGTGAAGCGCGCGTTCTGTCATCAGCCCAAGGGGACAATGCCGGACAGTCTATACGGATAATCATATGGCGACAGAGGAGAGGTGGGATGGGGGGAATGTAGAGGGATAGCTGGTGGGCAAGGACAACGTCATAGTCGTGCCAATTACTGACCATGAAAAATGACCAAATGCCGCATAAAAAATAGCCGACAAATTTGTTAGCACAATGCCAAGGCAAGAAAGTTTCACGCATCAATTTGGTTAAACAGTTTTTTGGCCAGCATAAAGTCAACGCCATATGGGAAATCGCGTCTCATCCCCTTGGCTAAATTCCGTATATCGCCTCCTCTCTCTTTCTCTGTCTCTGAAGTCTGAGGTGTGACAACTTCGGACTTATGCGACACAAATTTGATGATGTTTTCAGATGAATTATGTGACGAGACTGTATCAATCAAGATCAAGATTAAATATAGCTCTCTCTCCCGCTTAGTTATTATATATATATATATATATATATATATATATATATAAAAAGCCTATTCATTGATGGTAGATGAAAAATTTAAAACTACAATTAATTGAATTAAAACTAGTTGAAGATATTACAATTAAAATGTAGAGAATACACTATTAGATGTATGTATGTACGAGGGTATATTGCAATTTATAAATTAGCTTATAGGATTATTTTTCATGAAATAACATTTATGTATAATGAATATTAAATAAGCTCATTAATTAAAGTATCGTTCATCACGCCACGACGCAGCAGCGGAAGTAAATCAAATTTAAAATGTTTAGGAGAATGTATTTAAATCCGTGAAATCTAAAAATTAAAATACTAATTATTTACGGTCTACGCCTCTATCTCTATTTATGTCTCTCTCTCTCTCTCCCTCTCTCTCTCTCCTCTCTCTCTCTCTCTCTCTCCTCTCTCTCCCTCTCTCTCTCTCTCTCTCCTCTCTCACTCTCGCTCTCTCCTGCTCGCTCTGTAATTTGTACCATTTTGAAGAATGGCATACTTAAAGCTCCAAATAGAAGACTTCAAGGCTAATATTGTAAGCGGGCAGGTCAATTCTCTCTATTAAATCTATTTCTCTACCTCACTTCCGCCACATCCATCTATCTATCCTGCTCACACCCCATTGGATATCGTATCCTGACCACGCGCGCCATGCAAATGAATTACGTGACTGAATCGTTTAACTAACGGCAGTTTCAAAAGATGCGAGCGACAACCTGGCGAAATTGTATTTGATTTCACGTTGTTTTCACTCACAACAATAAAATTAACTAATTAATTAATGCGACAGGAAGATTGTGAGAGAGGGGATGAGGGCTTGGGGGGGGGGGGATAGGGACGGGGACGGTGACGGGGACGGGGACGTGGGCTTGACTATGCGACCTGGTAAGGTAAGCCGCGTCACAGTTAAGCCAGCAAGTGACAGTTGAGACAACGTGAGAGACGGAGAGAGCTAGTGCAAGAGAGAGGGGAGAACAGACAGAGAGAGAGAGAGAGCGATAGTGGGGACAATCAATTATCATTATTCATGCGAATACAATTAATTTTCATAATTAAGCACGCCCACTGAGCTCTTTGAAGTGGACAGCAAAAATCACATCAGCATCCGCATCGGCATACGAATCTGCATCTGCATCCGCATCCTCCCTCTCCACACTGCTTCAGCTTGCAGATACGCGGCACAAAGGCAATTGCCGAAGCGACTGCCAATCTCAGCAGCAGCAGCAGCAGCAACATAAGCAGGTGACACCGGAGACAATAAGCTGCAATCACGCAAGTGCAAATGCTCTGTCCAATATAATAACAGACTAACAGATACCCTATATATTACGCATAAAATCATGAATGAAATATATATTTATTAAGTAAATGATCAAATGACATAAGATTTGAATTCATAAATTTAATAGGAATTTTAGCTTTAAGATATTCAAATATTTGCTTGAAAAGAAACAAAAAGCAAAGCTAATTCATATAAACACGCATTGATGCAATAAATTTAAATAGATATTGAAATATTGAACTATTACTTACTTTTGCCTAATGAAATGCCGCACTTTTTGACACTTGACATTTACAGGGTATATAAATGCAACCGACATACACGCCCAAGCACACACTATTTTAAGTTGCATGCAACATTTTGTTAAGGCCACTTTGCGACGTTTTAATTTAAATGCTAATCAGTTGCCAATAGAGTCAAAAGAGAGACTGCAACTATAGCTGCTAACGGCATAGCTATGACCATGACGATGACGCGGACGATGGCTATGGCTATGACTATGGCTCCGGCTATGGCCGTGGATATAGACATGAGGACAGCCTTGCTACGGTTGCGACTCGAGGGGGCCTGTGAAGGATGGTGTATGCATTTTAGTTGTTTGGGTTGCAAGCCGGAGACGCAATAGCGTTGCAAATTGTATTAAAATTGTCCGAGCATTGTGGATTAAACAGGCGATGTCACGACCAAAAAATGCCTATGTGCCAAAAGTGCATACCAGAACAGCAGCAGCAGCAGCAGCAGCTATCCTGGATGGGAGCTCTTTGGGACATCATTATTATTAGCCGTTTTTGTTGGCCAAACATAGTCACAGGCACAAGCAGTGACATTGGTGCAAGCATTTAGATATTGCCATTTATGCAGTGTGTACAATCTACATAAGTGCATCAGATTGCACATCAACAATTCCATTTTTGGTTTCCATTTTGGAGCTCCCCAACTTACCTCACAAGAAGTACGCAACACTCAATTTTTGTATAGCCCACACAATATGTGGCATAAATTTCTGTCTGCTCGATTGATACAGCAATTTTATTGCCATTATTTTTGAAGTTGTTGCAATAAGTATTCTGCTGTTAAATTGAATTTAACGTTGATCGCAGATGTAAACTTATCCCATAAAACCAAAAATATTAAATAATAATAACTATTAAAATTATTAAAAAGAATATAAAAAAAAACATTAAACATTATATGTATAAATAAAATTAGTGTTTAAAATATTTCAATAAAGAAAATTTATATATTTTAATAGATATTCATAATTATTTCAGTAATGCTTACATGTAAGTAAAATATTTAAAGAAAATAAGTTAATTAAAATTGCAAGAAAAACTGTTACGTTCACGTCAACGATAATTAACGGCGATAGAAACAAATCGATAAGTAGCACACGCTACAAAGCTGACCGCTACAGCACACACACAGCTTGTCCAACGATTACACTCACGAATGCATCGCTGAGTGGCGAGCGCACCGCACGTGGAGAAATATTGCCCAAAATAAAGCACTAGCGGAAAAATAAAATACAGCGCATAATACCATAGAATTAGCTAACAAAAAATGGACATGGAAAACATACAAGTGGACGCATTTGTGCCGGCGAAAAAGGCGCAAAAGCGCAGCGCCGTTGTCGACGCGCAGGACTCCAACGAAATGCAGGTGGATGCGGCGACAGGAATCGAGGGAATTCAACGTGCCAGCAGCGGACAAGCGGCGCCGCCACGAGCCAAACGGATACGCAGCGAGTTGCGCAAGGTGTCTGTGCCACCTCACCGTTACTCATCGCTCAAGGATCAATGGATGAAGATCTTCACGCCTGTCGTGGAGCATATGAAGCTGCAGATCCGTTTCAACATGAAAGCACGCCAGGTCGAGTTGCGCATCGGGCCGGAGACGCCGGATATTTCAAATCTGCAGCGGGGCGCCGATTTTGTGAAGGCATTCCTTTGCGGCTTCGAAGTGGATGATGCACTGGCACTGCTGCGTCTCGAGGATCTATTCATCGAGACGTTCGAAATCAAGGATGTGAAGACGCTGCGCGGCGATCATCAGTCGCGTGCGATTGGACGACTCGCCGGCAAAGGTGGTCGCACCAAGTTCACAATCGAGAACGTAACAAAGACGCGCATTGTGCTCGCCGACAGCAAGATTCACATCCTGGGCAGCTATCAGAATATCCAGCTTGCCCGTCGCGCCATCTGCAACCTGATCCTTGGCTCGCCACCCAGCAAAGTCTATGGCAATTTGCGGTCCGTTGCGACGCGCCTCTCGGAGCGCATGTAACGGACTGTGATCGCCTTGGGCGGGCTCTTAACTTAAGATATATTTTTTTCGCTTCGATGTAATGAATAATTATAAATAAATATATGTAAATTTAACAACACATCCGGGCAGTTTTAGTGGTTGAACAACTGATCTTGGATGATGTTTCAGATACACAAACATATATATATGTATATACACCTGTGCAAATCATCTATATTGTATATTTAAATCTGAAAGTGGTTCAAGGTCAAAGCTTGAAAATCATTGAGATATCATCGGAGTAGTAGCCTGATGACTTCTATAAAAAAAGCCCCATTGACTAGTAATAAATAAATAAAACGTATATTTTACATTACACAATTACAATGTACACACGAAACAACACGCAATAATGGAAAAACTGCTGGCTGGGGCCCATTTGGAAGGGAATTGGGCCGAAACTACAGCTTGGTTAGAATCAGCAGCAAGAGCATGAGGAAGGTGACAACCGCCAGGACGAGAATGATGCACATTTTGCGATTCTTGCGCTGGTACAATTCGGCGCGCTGCAATTGCCGCAATCCCTCGGAGACGCGTGTCTGCGTCTGTTCCACGTTGTAATCGATGCGATCCAGGACGGTGCCCTGCTCCTGCACCATGTGGCCCAGGTCTTTGAATATGTCGTTGAGATCGTAGATGGACTTGACGATTTTGGTCACCTCCTGCTCGCGATGTTGTGCATTTCGCGTGTTCTCCTCCTCGAAGAGCAGCAACTGCTGCTGGGTCATTCGATTGGCGACGGGTTTCTTGAAATGATCATCGATCTCCTGGTCATCGTCCTCAAAGATATATGTGCTCGCCGTGCTCTTGCCACGACCAATGACTGACCCATCGAGTGGCTGCAGAAAATTGTCAAAGGAGTCGACAAAATTCGCCGGCTCATCGTTATGGCCGCCGCCCAGTTCCACATTGGTGAATTCATTGTTGTCAAAGTACTTTTGGGAACGCTCCTCGCGCGAATTGAGCTGCAACAAATAGGCATTTTGACTACTCCGGAATTTTATTGTCAGATCTTGGAGCTGTAGCAGGGCACAGTGCACCGCATTGGCAGTTAAGCGTTGCTCCACTTTGCTGCCCATGCCCAGGCTGGAGCGGACGCACTGTATGTGCCGGTGGGTGCTGGCGATGAGTTTGGCAACGATCTGGCTTAACACCTCAATCTCGCACTCGTCATCTCTTTGGTCATCGAAGGTGGGGCGCAGCAAGTGGCGCGCATGCAGCGACCCCAGCTCATCCAATTTGGGTTTAATTCTGTGCAAAGACAATAGAAATATGTATACTATTTAAATATATATAGGTGCTTCTCACTCACTTGGACATTGTGTACTGCGCCTCCTCGAATTTGTCGAGCCAAACCGGCGGCGTACCGTACTCATCCTGCAACTCCAGTCCCTCCTCGGCCTCGCGCACAGTGTGCTTGAGCAGACGCTCCGAGTCGCTGCCACGCTGATGACAATATGCATAAACTTTGAGTCACTTTGTCCATAAGTCAATCAGTTCATCTCCATATGCTTACCCGATCGTCATAATGATTGCGATTCTTGCTGGCATTGTTACGCATGATAATGAAGACCTCCGTCAGGTTGCGTGACGTCATGGTGAGGACAGGTGAGTACCGTGAGCCTTGTTTTTTGTATTAATTTCTTTAGCTAACACCTATCTAAACAATTTACATTTTATTTATTTGCTATTTGTATGGGAAAAACAATCGAAAACAGTTTCGATAATATTTATCGATTTGAATTTTTTACGCATCGGAAATTGAAACGCAAACGCAAATTGAGCAATTTCAACGCAAAGCAGAGCAACGCAACGATAATTATCGAATTTTATTTAAAATACGTTACAATACATTCAAGCCGGTCCTTAATTTAAATTGATTAACCAAAAATGTTTGATAAATTATTCTATTTTGCTACCTTTACCTTTAGGATTAATCGAGCCTAGCAGCAGATTCGAAAGCCTGTTGAACGGCAGCTCAAAGAACAAAGTCAGCGCAAAAGAAAAGACTAAAACTATGACCAAGTTAGCAACGCATAGGAAAACCTGAAACGAAAGCGCCGTTAGCAACAACTGTTCGTATATGTAACTGCTACCAAGTAACTCACCAAAATAACATCATCCGTGGGAATTGCATTGCTGAGAGAATAGAACAAGTTGAGTATAATAACAGGATTGAACAAATAAACGGCATAAGTCACACGATCAATACGCTGAAAAAATTTCATTTCCAAAAAATACACCAAACATCGAGTCGGCGTAGCACTTTGCTCTCGCTTAAAGCTACTGAGAATGAGGTGGGCAATGCCTGCAGATAATAGCACTCGCAAAATTACCACAGTGCAGCCCAGCACAAGTGGGCTGGCCCCTCCCGCTGATCGCAGTAACGTTATGCCCAGCCAAAGAGCGACGACAGCCAGCCCGCTCTTGGCCAGCTTGTTGGGGAACACTGCTTCGAATGGTGAACCAGTGCCACTTGCATGTGCATAGCCGTAGATGCTGCCAATGATGTACGACGACATGCGCACCGTGGGCTTTGTGTACAACCAGTCAGCCTTCTCATACATAAGGTCAAAAATCAGTGGCACATCCAGTATGATCGGCAACAGTGCCGAATACGCTATATTTCCGAGCAGCAGCATTATAACCAGACGTCGCACCGAATGGGCATACCTACGGGAGCAAAGTGCACTCTTTGGTATTTTCCCATTGACTCCTGATTCCTTTGCAGCCGATCATACGTACCTTGTATGCAGATAGAGCAGCACCATTGCACCAATGTGCAGCTGCATTTCGCAGCCGAGGTACCAGGTCCAATTGCAGCACATCTCCTTGACCGGATAGAGGTTCTGCACGAAGAGCAGATTGCGCCACCAATGCCGAGTGCACAGCTCATCCGCTGCATTAGTTAGATGAAAGACAGAGGCCTCACGGTGGTAGGCAAAGCTCACAACCGACATCAGTATCATGACGAACTGTAGAGGTGCCAGGCGCAGATAGCGGTGCGCCAATTGACGCCCACAGCGACGCACATTGCCCGATAGCGTGTCCTCTGCAATGCAACACTGCAAGGACTCGTTGCGTAGGAAGTTGGTCACGGTGAGGAAGCCACTGTCGAAAAGAAACATCAGCTTTGCGTGAGGCATTTTTGGTATTAACATTTATCAACTACTACATCAGCACAAAATCAGCTTTTCAAATGCATACAAAATTAAAGATAAAAACCAACCTAACGACGAAGAACACCTCCAATAATGCTGGCAGAAAATAGGGCACTAGATTAATCTTGACCATTTTTGAGGTCAAGTCCGACGAGTGATTCACTGAATAGAACAGATACCAAACTACATGTAAACAGAGCAATCCAAAGGCACTGCAGACCCGCAGCCCATTAATGACGCCAATTTGCTGAGGGTCCGCTGACAGCTGCCACAGACGCTGCCAATTGGACGCCACATTGAAGCAGCCAATCACCGGGCTGGCAGCATCCCATCCATTATGTGCAAGCAGCATCAGCAGCAGGATGACAGCCACCAGTGCGGCGAGCATACGAAATGCATTGCTTGCAAAGAATTTAGCGCTTAGCTTCGGCTGCTTGGTGTAGACCAGCTCGACTCGCATCTGCAGGCGATCCGCGTGTCCTCCAGCACCCGCTGTGCTAAGCGTCTCGTGCAGCAGCCTCTCTAGCTGATTTGGGTCACAGGCGCGCGGCACACACAAACCAATATGCAACAGTGGCGTCTCCTTAACAGACAGAGCCAGCTGCCAGGGTGAGTTAGCCCGCAGATAGGCCAAGCGGTAGTCGAATGCAAAGGGCGCATATTGTTGTAGCAGCTGCTGCTGCCGCTGGGTAACGGCCCGCAGCAGTTGTTCATTGACAGCACGACAGGTCTGAGGATTGCCCAGCCAGAGGCTATTGCCCAGCATAAAATTGTCATAGCCGCTACCGGAGGCATCAAAGACTGCAAATGTTTAAAATTATTATATTTGACATGTTTATTTTAATGAGTCAAACAAATCAAATTTCTTTTTTCTTCTTCGAGTAATAAAATCAATCAGCTCAACTTAAATTAAACTAAAAATGTTTTAGATAAAAAAATGTGCCAGAATTAATAAACAAACAAAAAAAATTTTAATTTTGAGTATTATTTTAAAAATTTCTTCAAACTAATAAATAACAATAAAATGACTTTTTAGTTGCTCAACTTGTAAAAAAAATTAAATACCTTTCAGTGCCCAGCCTTGCTGCTCATGCCAAGCGTAGTGCAATATCTGAAGTTGCTTAACACATGGCGTTGTCTGTCTTGTGCCATTTTGCTGTAGCTGCACAAGATTCGTCAGGCGCCAAAGCAAGGAGTCTGACTCGAGACCTGTGCTCTGCTTAGCCAGCACCCCGATTACGAATAGGAGAATCAGTGACTGCAACATCATAGCTTGGTTGAGATTTTGTGACTGCCGTTCGCATCGCAAGCCGGCTAAAGACTACAACTCTCTTCTGAAGCTACGTGATTAAATTAGTGAAAATACAATGTTGCTCGTTGTACTTCAAACTGTACTCTAAAACAACCAGAATATGTCATTTACATTCTACAGAATACGGAAAGAATTTCAAATTTAATTTCTGTAGCCCTTATAGTCTCTTAGATCAATAGGGTATGAGGTTAATAAATTTAAGGTAGTAAACAAAAACACTTTTAATACATTGACGCATTGACGCATTGACGCACACTCTTTGCAAAGAAATAATAATAAATAAACAAAACAATTGTTGTATTTTTTTTAATTATTTATTTTGGCACTTTATTTTTGTTGTTTTATTATAATTGTAATTGGAATTGGTTTATTAAGCAAATTATTATTAAGTAAGTAAATTATTATTAATAATTATTGTTTTTGCTTTTGTTTTCCCATATGAATTAATTAAGTTTTGTATAAGTACGTGTTTGTAAATAAGGGTAATTATTTAATTAATCAATTAGTTAGTTGTTCGATCAAAAGTTTTAACGTTAACGTTAACTATACAACAAAAGTTACAATTAATTAGTACAATTAAAAAAAAAAAACAAAAAAAAATGTGTGTGTGTGTAAATGTATATAGATATATATGTATATCATATATGATTGGAATGTGGCAGCAGCAAAAACGAGCTTGATATCCGTAACCAAATAGGTGCAATGGGCCTTTTTTGTATTTATTTGCTGCTTGTCAAATGAAACTAAAAGCCAAGTCCAGAAAGAGACACAAACAAATATATATAGAGAGAGAGGGAGAGAGAGAGAGAGAGTGAGAGACAGAGAGAGAGAGGGAGACAGAGATAGAGTCGGATAGTGGTAGAGAGGGAAGACATCACTTGCGTTGGCGCAGTTCAATAATTGTGGCGCCGGATCCGCGACGCAGTTGCTGCTGCTGGACTTGATGTTGTTGATGATGATGTTGCTGTTGCTGATGATGATGATGCAGATGCTGTTGCTGTTGCTGATGGTGATGCTGTTGCGCATGATGCTGCTGCTGATGCTGTTGCTGCTGCTGCTGCTGCTGATGATGATGATGATCGTCAGCATAGAGGAGCCGCCTGTTGTTATCATCACTGCTACGCCGCACAATGCTCGCCGTATCCTTGTTCAGCTCAACGGACGGTGGCGAGCGCGAGTCCAGTGAATATTTTGGCTGCAATGCATATTTATTGTTGTTGCGTCCATAATCCTCATCGCCATGAATGACACGATATAGATCGGGTGTCTGCTGGTGCAGATTGCGCAAATATAGCTGCTTATTTTTATTGTTGTTGTCCTCCTGCAGCTGCTGCTGTTGCTGTTGCTGTTGCTGCTGCGGCTGGTAGAGATCATCGTCATTGCCATTGGCAATTTTCGTCAAATCCTTTTGACTGCGACTTATCAGATTCACAATCGATGGACTCTTGAGGCCGCTCTTCAGCGAGTTATCCTTGCCGCTGGAGTACAGATGCGGATTCGATTTGTATGCCTGCGATTGGGTTTGCGTCGACAACAGCTCGTGGCGACCATTGCTATAATTGTTACGGGTCAGTTTCTCAATATAAATGGGACTAGGATCATTGCTGCCATTCATGCCGTGCACATTGAAGCTCTTGCTGCGATTCAAGACCTTGGCATATGTGCGCGCCGGCTTCGCAGGACCAGCTCCAGATAATGCAGTGACTGCTGCTGCTGCTGTTGTCAAAGTAGGAGGAGGCGTTGCCTGCTGCTGCTGTTGCTGACTTAAGACCGTACTGTAGCTGGGCCTGCTGCTTCCTGTAATCTTCTCGAGCGTTTGATTATATCGTGGCCCTCTGTACTGTCCATGTTCGTGCAGTTTGCGGGGCAGCGTCTGCGTGGATCGATAATCCGGCTGCACATGCAAATTGGGTGTGGAGCCGCTAAAGCGCTGACCATGCTTCTGATAGCGGCCCAGTGTATGCGTGGAGCTACCAACTGGCGGCGCACGCGACTCATAAAACTCATCCTCATCCTCGAAACGGGGCTCTGTGGACCGCTGACGAGCTCGACTCTGCGCCTGCGCCTGCACTTGAGCCTGAGCATGCGCCTGGGCGTGAGCATGTCGCTCATAGATGTTCTCCTTGCCGTATAGCGTACTGGAATAGGGATCCTCGCCCAGATAATAACGCTGCCGTGGACTCATCACCGTCGACTCCAGCTCAGCCACTGTGGGCTTAAAGTTGCGCACCGGCTGCCCAACAGCAGCTGGCATATCCGGTTTGCGTCGTCGCTGGCCATCGCTAATGGAGCCCTCGGATTCGTTGCTGCTGTGCCGCATGTGTCCATTGTTGTTGTTGTTGTTGTTATTGTTATTAGTGCCACCACCAATGTGACCATCGATGACATTGTACTGCTGATAGGTGGTCACACTGGGCGACACGTTCACATTGCCCGCCGCCTGGCTGGGCGACTGTTCGCGTGATTTACTTTTTGCTGCTGCGGCACTTTTCATACGAAATTTACGCTCCGCACTCGCCGAGCGTATCTTGCTGACCAGCTTGCGCAGCGAGTTGCCAATCACCTGACCCATCTTGCTGGCAGGCTTGCTGGCGCTCACCGTCGACAGATTCGAGGTGGAGGCCGAGTTGCCGCCTGGCTGTCGATTATTATAGCTGGCGGCTGGTGCAAATCGGGTGCGTTGCTGTTGCTTCCGATTCAGGGTCAGGCTGCTGCTGCTCGCTGCCGTCTCCAAATTGGCCTGATGGCCATGTGGATGCGAGTGGGCATGACCATGGGCATGGGCATTGGCGGGGACGTGGCGTGGCCGTGTACGCAAATAATCCACCTGCGGCGATGAGCTGCGACTGCGGCTGCGCGGTGGCGGCGAATAATCCGGTGGCGGCTCCAGCTGCGTAACCACACCAGCAGCAGTCGCAGCAGATGTGGCTGGAGCTGGTGCTGGTGGCGGCTGTGGTGCGAGTAGCTTGGTAACGGCTTGATGACTGTTGTGCGATGCTGTTGCTGTTGTTGTTCCTGTGGTTGTTATCTGCTCGCCGATCTTCTTTTCGATGGCACGTCGTCGCTGGGGCACAGTGGGCCGACCCAGATTGCAGCTGCTGCTGCTACTGTTCGTCGCAAACTCCATGGGCGTTTCGAGGGAGCTGCGCTCATAGCTCTTGCCGCGCAAATTGATGGGATTACTGCTGCTCCGGCCATGGCCGTAGGCCACCCGTTTCTGTGATGGCTCCTCGGCGCGATTGGGCTGCAGTGGCGCATTCGTTGAATTAGCAACAGCGGCTAGCTGATGATGCCGCATTTGCGCTGGTGGCTGTGGATCACGTGGTCCCGGTATGGCATCCAGATCATCGAGGGCATCTCGCGAGCCACGCGTGGAGCGCGCTAAAAATTGCGAGGACAAACTCTGGCGCTTCTGCTGCAAGATATCCTCGCGACTCACATAGCTGCTATCGGCGACGCTGGACGGCAGCACATCTGGCTGTTTGCCCTTGCTCTTGAGTCCGTTGCGGCGTATCGTCTCCTGCAGATCCTCACGAAATGCTTGACTGGAGAAGTGATTGATGGGCGCCTCCTGACGCTCCGCCCAGTTCGAGATACCCTGGAAATATTTACCGCGACCAACTGACAGACCGTTCACCTCCTTAACATACTTGCGATCCAGAGTGGCGGGCAGACGTTCCCGTTCCCGTTCGCGTTCCCTTTCTCGCTCCCTTTCCCTTTCGCGTTCCCGCTCTCTTTCGGCGCTGCGTGGCAGCGTCTGCGGATGGTGCTGTTGTGTCTGTGTGATTGCTCCTGCTCCACCACCAGTTCCAGCAGCTGCACCTGCTGCTTGGCCAGAGATTGTATTGCTTGGCAGCCCGGCCGGTAGTTGGCTCTGCGATTTGATGATCACATTAAAGTAGCTCTTCTTGGTGGGCTCCACATCCACATCGTTGGCCTCGTCATCCCGCGAATCATTGGAGGCGGTCGATTCGCTGCCAAAGTGCGATTCCAGCCACTTCATCGTCTCGCCCTTGCGCGTCTCCTCCTCCCGATCAAAGTCGAGTGGACGCTTCGTTAACGCATCCTTGCGATCCGCCAGCAGCGCCACCTCTGCCCAAAAAAAAAGGCATCATTATTTGAATTTCAAATTGAAAACATGAATCGATATTTATGATGCCGGAGGAGATTCAATGGAAGTGTATAATGAATACGATTTGGAATGCTTTTCGTTGATAGATCGCTTACCTTTTTGCTGCTGCTGTTGCTGGGAGCGCCGCAGCTTGCGCATGCGATCCGAGAGGCTGTCCCAGTCGCCGGGCCGCTCCAGGGAGCCGTCCTTTTCCATTTGGGTCGTCTCGGCGGCGTAGCGCATCTCGGTGGCCACCAGTTTGCCGTCGGCTATCAGATCCACATGCTGTTCGTCCCGCTGCTTGAAGTAGCGTTGACTCGCCGCCGTTGTGGTCAACTGTTCGCCCTGCTGACCAACAACCAGCTCATTGCCGGCTTTTTGCCTGGTCCTTGTTAATGCCTTTGCCTTTGCCTCTGTCTCTGTGTCGTCTTCGTCGCCGTCAAGGATCAGCTCGTGTTCGGTGGTGCGCTTGCTCTCGGTAACCAGTGTGCCGTCCTCCTGGGCCAGGCAACGCTTCTGCGTATCCTCTGAATCGATTGTCTTGCGCGATCGACTCGTATTCGCCACCAGCTGCGGCCCAAGTGCCACCAACTGTTGCTGACTCTCCGGTGAGCAGAGGACAGCCTCAAGATCCTCAACACCCTCGCGCACCGCCTTCACGTATGTCTACAGCGAATCGAACACAAGATTGTAATGTTAAACAATGTTCAATATTAGATAAATATCCGATACAGATCAGAAAAGATAAAATGCTTTAGTCGAGAGAGCTCAACTATTTATAATATTATGTCATGTTAACAAAATATATTATATATACATATTAGATTAGATATATATATATATATTTCAAATTGTGGCTTTTATTTTTATACTTAAACTCCAAATTTGAATTCCCTAGTCTCTGAGCAATGGATGGACATGATCAGGTTTATATATTCTTTAGGATATCGGACATGATTTCTACTGCCTCTTACATAGCTTCTTGATAGCTATAGATCTACTTGCATAGCATGAATTGCCAATAAACGTATTTATATTTGTATAGTCAGGTTGAACAACAATTAAGGTTAATATTTGACCTAAAAGCAACTTAAGTTTCCATAGGCAAAAGACTTTCTCACAGTTTTAACCATTTTTCTGGGTCAACATTTGAGTTGATGACCAAAAACTTAATCGAATTAGGCAAGTCAACACTCTACTTCCGGTCATATACAAATTAAATGTTTGATTGTATTTATGAGTCACTTAAAATAAAAGTTACAATAAATCGTATCTATTATTTTGTATATCGAATGATTTATATTTATATTTATATTATTATTTGTGGATAATAATAAAGCACATAATAAATGCATAGTTTGGAAATTCGGTAGTCGCATATTTAATCCCATTATCTAAACGAGTTTTGTTGTAGACAAGCGTTATACAAAAGAGAAAAGAAGCTGAGCTGACAATGGATTTAGTTATTTTATTAATTTACTTTTTTTTATATATGTATATATGTTTTTTTTATTGCCATTATAAGATCGTTGTTCTTCTTCTCTCTTTCTGCATAGACCTGAAATGCTGTTGAATGCTGATCAGGTTGCATCATCGACATGGTCGATGCGTCGGCATCGCCAAATGCTTCTCACTCCAAGTCGATGCAATCGCCTCAACCGCACACACACACACACACACACACACACATGAGCTTAGAGAGCGGCATGGTATTCAGAGCAAGACAAAAACCACAATGCACCACATTCCGTTTTGCAAGTGAAGTAGCGTTTGGGGCGGTACCAAAAAAAAAAAAAACAAAAAAAAAAAGTAAAACCCCCGAGGAATGCATGGAAAGGGAAATAACGGTAAGAATGTGACACCAAGCAAAAGAAGAAGACGAAGAAGAAGAAGAGGATGAAACTGAAGGTGAAGCAGAAGCGCCAGCAATGCGTCAAGGTCAGTCAGTTGGTTGCCACTCCCCAACCAACCCCCCCCCCCCCCCCCTCCTTTGTGGCATGATGACCAGCGCAGCTGCACGCATCGCACGCTCAAGAAGAAGCACAAGTTGAAGCGTGAAAGATCAATTCAAAACTGAAACCATATCCACACTGACTCCAGACTGGGAATCCAGCTAATGGGTATGAGCATCATTTGCACCACTTGACCACTTTGGAAGATTCATTTATACATAACTCGTTGTTGCTGTTTGTATTGTTGTCGTTACTGCTGTTGCTGGTGTTGTTGTTGTTGTTGCTGCTGGTATTGTTGTTGTCGGCGACCTTGTTTAACGGTAACGCGCGTAGAAAGTGTTTTGTTTTTTAGCTTGAAGCTGAAAAACTTGAATGTCAGCAGCAACAACAAAAACAACAATAATAACATGAAACTCGTCTCCCCGCAAAACTCAACCCGAGCGTCTCCGCTGGCTGCCTCAGGCGGTACTGTGAATTTGACTGTTCACTGAACGATCGATGGACACGAATTCATTATGGGAGATACAAGCCAAAAAAAAAAAATAAAAAATGAGTCCAACAACAACATTCAAAGAAACAAACACACACAAAAAATAAGAAGCAAACGACAACTGAAAGCGTTCATCATCAAGATACCCCGTAATATATATCGTCATCATGTTATGCGTTATACGTGTTTCTATCAGCGTGTGGGAGCGATGCACACTTATATATACAGCTTGTGACAGAATCTGGAAGCTGGTTTAGCTCACAAGAGCCCACATACTAAATATAGTAACTGGATCTCAAATAGTCACTGAAATCATTTATTAATAAGGAACTGAATATGCATGACAACATGCCTAGGACAAAGTTCCAACTATCCGATCATATATATATATTTACATATATATATATATAAGTAATTTAAGTTACTGTAATGATTATCATCACAATCTCTACACAAACAATATTTATAAATGAGAGCCCACATATAGAGAAATATAGCTTTTCAAGTTCCCAAGTGATTTTTTTGTAATAACCTTCTAAACCTTGTGATATGTTTAGAGGGTATAATAATAGATCTTAAGCTTTATATGGAGATATGTTTAGGTAGCTCGGCTAGTGATGGATTATTGAGGAGGCGGAGGGGGCATGTGTTTCGGAGGTTGTTGTTTTGGTTTTGGTTTTGGTTTGGGTTTGGGTTTCGTGGCGTTGGCGCCAATAAAGATCATGATAAATGTTTATGGCCGAGATGAAGTCGTGATGACGTTGAAGATGATGACGCAGAAAAGGCAGACGGAGGCGACGAGGGCAAACGGACATTGTCAAGAGCTTTGTCATTGGCCAAAAATGTGAAAAACCGTTGCTTGAATTTTAGTTATAAGTTGTGCTTGATTATCACAAACAGTTTGCCGAATGCCAGTGCCAAAAGTTAAAGTTAAGTGTGTGGAATGAAGTGGAGTTAAGATTGAACACGACACACACACACACAAACACACACACACACACACGCACATGAGCTGGGGCATAATTTCAATTCGAAAAACGATTTGGCCAGCTTGAAGGTATTCAAATGAATTGCTGGCTCGTTGGCATGCCAAGTGGCCAAAAAGAGAAATGAGCCAAGTTGCTGATTTGTATTTTTTTTTCTTTTTTTTTGTTTTTATTGTCTGTTCAAGAGAAGTTTTGCTGCTGCTGCTGCTGTTGGTGTTGCTGTTGCTGCTGGGTCTGGGCCTGGGCCCAAGAGACACTCGACTTCTCGTGCGTGTGCTGCTCGACCAGACCAGTTTGCCTTGGCAGTTTACTCAACCTCCAGCCTAGGCAGCAGCAGTAACAGCACCAGCACCAGCACCAGGCCCAGCGGGCACCGAAAGCGCGTTCGATTATATTATGATTATTATTATTATTGTAATTCAGTTAGTGTGCGCTGCACGCCAACGCCAACGCAGCTGCAGCTGACCAGAGCACTTGGGGGCTCCAAACCAACTTCGCAGAGTGGTGCTCTCTGCCGCAACCTCAGTTGTGCTGGAGTTCGGGCCGATTGGTATACGCTGATTAGAGTGTGAGCCAACTCAATGTGGGCACATGGGCGCAAAGCAGAAACAAGTTTACCCAGGCAGCAAGTACCCACACACAGACTAACACACACACTTGTAGCTGTGAGTGTATGACAAGAAGTATACACACAATTAAACACACACACACACACACACACAGACAAGCACACAAATTTAAACTGAAAATTCCAATTCGAAATTCAACATATATTTCGTAGACAAAACACAACTCCAAATGTTTGTGTTTAGGCCTATATATGTGCTGTGTATGTGTGGGTGTATGTGTGCGGTGTGTGTGTTATGTGTGTGTATTGGCGTATCGGTGTTTAGTTAGGTTCATGGACCTGCTGCAGACACGCCTAGAATCCCAGCCAAGCCAAGCCGAGCCAGGCCAACTAAAGCCAAGGCATGGCAAGCCGCAGTCGCAGCCAAAGCAGGAGCAGCCGCTGTCTATTGATTAAACTGGGCTCCAGAACAGGTCTTCAGCTGTCTATGTGTGTGTATGTGTGTGTGTATGTGTGTGTGTATGTGTGTGTGTGTGTGTGTGTGTGTGTGCTTGTCTGTGTGTAAATGAACTGTGTGTATACCTTGTACAACATCATCTGCTGTGGTACACAACCTTTTGCTGCCTGGGTAATTGCCAACTACCGGTTTAAAGACATGCTCCCCAAGTCCAGTAATGCGCTACAAGCAGGCTGGAGCAGTGGGGGGTGGGGTGTGGTAAGAGAAGAAGGGAGTTTCTAAGATCTCGCACGTTTATTGACTAGCCGCAAAAGAACTTTCAAATGGAGCTAGAAGTTAGAAGCTGTTGCCTCACAAATACACATAAAAAGTACATTTAAAGTGCCTGTAGGCGAGTTCGTTGCCTAAGTCTTTCGTTGGAGGAAACTTCTGAACTGGATCACGTAATATTTCGCATAGAACTTATAATTTACCGTTTATATATCTAAGCAATAAGCCTTTAATCAAGTTCGTTGCCTAAGTTTTCATTTAGCAGATGCCTAATCAAAATAAATAGTATATATTTTTAACAATAAATTCTAAAATATAAATAAGTCTTTACTAGAGATAGGGTCGCCTCTCGCAGACACATACACTTTTATAATGTAAGACTTTTATCTTTGGTTTGTTTTCCAATAATATCACGTCATATTTCGAATATAACCTTTCAAATAAAGTTTACAGTTGGCTGGTTTTCAGTCAACTGTTGCTAACATATATTTTGACACTTACTAATTTGGGGTTTTATGCAATGTTCTAAGAGCTGTCACCTATCACACACACACACGTTCATAGATTTATAATACCTGAAATCAAGTTCGTTGCCTAAGTCTTCTGTTTATGGCATTATTTGTTAGCACTTTTTTTTTGATCCTATGAAATCGATCAAACAATTAGAGTAAGTTAGGAGGAGCTATCTCACACACATATACGCATACACACACACGCGCAGCGATCTGTATATAGTAGCTCTAATCAAGTTCGTTGCCTAAGTCTTTTAATATTTTGCACATTTTTTGGATTTGTGCAACTTATGAAATGGTTCACATAATATTCATAACATACTCATAATATATTCACATAGGTATTCGCACCTGGGTTAATTAAGCAAATTGAGCGATGCCGTTGGCCAATCGTTTAGCGCCCCACGCACAACAAAAACGAAAACTTTAGTTTTTCTTTGTTATCTCCTTTCGGTGTCTTTCTCTCTGTGTATGTTTCTCACGTTGTTGTTTTTGCTTTAGCCGTGGCTCTTCGACTCAGTCTGCTTCTAACGATGAACTTTAGTTAATTATGAGACCTAAAACTGTGTGTGTATTTTAAACTAAGCGGGGTGTGTGCGCGAGTACAAACTAAATCACAGGGCGCGCGGATGTGCGTAGGAAAAAAAAACAAAATACATCAACAAAATAACAACAAAAATGATGAAAAACAATTTTAATTTAAACAGAGACACAGCCACAAGGGGTACACAAGCGAGAGAATCAGCGATCGACAGAGCGGCCGATTGAGAGAAAGAGTGACAGAGTGAGTGAGAGGCAGAGAGAGAGAGAGAGAGAGAGACCGTTACAGACTTAAGATAAACCAAAAGTTAAGATCAAGATTAAAGACAATAAATCGCGTTGGTTACGGGCGCGACGCGTTTAGCAAGAAACGAGTTGTTGTCTGCTCTCGGCGCTCGCTCGGCGGCGACTGAACTGGCGGCAGCAACAGCTTAAGATGCAGCTAGCCAGCTTGTTGCGGCTGCTAACAACAGTAACAGCAACAGCAACAGCCACAGCAACAGCAACAACTGCCTCTAACTTTCGAATGAGCTTTAAAGAAACAACAACTTGACTCAACTGGTTGCTGGTTGCTGCTGCTGATTGCTGCTGGCGACTGCCCAGTGGCGCTGTTACCTTTTATTTATTACCCTGTTCAAATGAAACTTGTATCATAGGGTATCATAGACATATGCATGAATAAACTTATGCATTATACAAAAATGGGGAATATAATTACAAATGTATATATATATATATATATATATATATATATATATATATTGAAATGAATAGTTAAGTGTACAGACAAGACTCAACAGGTCATCTAACAGTCGAGCACACTCAATTGGAGCATTCATATTTGTTTTTTTTCACGCCAAATTGATTTTCAGTTATTTTGCATGCCAATTTGCTGCTGTTATTGTTGTTGTTGTGGCAGTGTTGGATTACAACAGCGTCTGCAGCTGCTTATATTATTTGCTCACCTCGTCGGTGAAATCGCCCAAGTGCTTGACGTCCTGCGTCTCGTGATAGTCCTTGATCTCTTCGTGCGATATGATGCGCTTATCGTCGACCTGGCGCACCAGGCCGTCAACGGGGCGCGGCACCATGCGCTTCACCAGCTTGCCACCATCGATGCCGGCTCCAACGCCGAACGCCTCCTGCAACTGGGCCAGCTGCGTCTCGTTGACGGCGCCCGCCTCCAAAGCTGCGGCGTCAATCAGCTGCGCATTGCCATCCAGCTCATCTGGCAGACCCAAGTCGCGTTTCTACGAAAGCAAATTCAATAAATCAATACATAGATGCGATTGGCGAGGCAAACGCACCTCAGTTGTCTCCGTTTCCTGTTTATCTGTGTCCTCGGTCGTATTGGTGGACACCATCGGCCCAGAGTCCTCTATCACTTTGCCATCCTGCAGCTTCACCTGTCGTTTCACCCGTGTCTCGATTTGTCTCGTTGTTGTCAGCTCTGTTTTTCGCTTCGTTATCCATTCCTCTGCAAGAAAATAAATATATTTTTAATGTTTGCATTGCATTGCATACTTTCAAGCCGTTGCTGAAAGCTTTCGCTGGCATCTTTTCAATTGAGCCCCAAAAGTGCGCTTCAAAGCATTTCGCAGAGCTTTCGAATTCGACTGCATTTGGCTGGATAGAGAGAGTCAGAGTCACAGCTAGCCAAAATGCACTTTTAGCTCAGCAAACAATTCCTTTAGCTTCTCGTTTCATATTTCAAGGGCATTTTTTAAAAAGAAAGTTACGGCAATTATTCAGCTCAAAAATAATTTGAGCTAATTTGATTTCAAATTGACTAATATAAATTTGACTAGAATGCTTTCAATATGCGAGGCCTTTTATAATTTGCCACCAAAGGTTGCAACTATTAAAAAACTATTAAAAACAAGAATAGATTGTTTAAAAATAGTGCCACAGCAACTTTTGTTAAACTGTCAGTGCAATATTTATGTAGACTAATCTTATCTCTAATTTCACGGCAATTATTTTCAAAGCGTATTTCGAACAATTAAATTTTGAAATGCTTTGCTTAAGCAGCTCAAAACTAAGTCGTTGGGTTCGCTTAATCTGCAGTACACGTTCAACTTAAATAGTTTTAAGACCTTTGCCTCGGCACATAACTGATATCGAAAAGAGTTGCTTAAACACTTAACAGTTGGGCTCTATGCGAGATTTGAGTGTTGCTAGAGCCATAAATAATGGAATTAAGGTAATTTTATGAGTGCAATTAAATGAACTATTTCGTATTTGCAACATGTTGCTTGCCACTTGCATCCATTCAGCTGTTCTGATTGCAACACCTCGCAAAGCTAGTGCCGCAAACTTTGCGATTTGCATGTTGCATATTTGCATGCAGATAAAGTGCATTTTGTATTTTAGCATTTCCACTTGTGTGCCTACTTCTAACAACGACAGCAACAGCAACAGCAACAATAACAGCAACAATAACAGCAACAGCAACAAAACGACGAGCACGAAGAAGAGGAAGAAGTGGGAGAAGAAGAAGCAGAAAAAAATAGCGAAGCGCTTGAGCGATTCGCTGAGTGGCTGCCGCATTTGGTTGCTTAGCTGGTCGCCCAATTACGTAACCCAAGTCCAAGTTGGTCTGTCTGCCACTAGACTAACTGTACTATGAGTGTATATATATATATATATATATATACTTATATGCATGTGTGTGTGTGTGTGTGTGTGTGTGTGGCAACCTGTGACGCCAACAACACACAGAGCAATGCTTTGAGCAGGACATCCGACGACTGTCTGTGTCCAAGACTGACTTACTGCAGATTTACTGAATGAAAAACTGACTTGATTTTTCTTTTTGCCTTCCACAATGCCCTATTAAATGGTATTATGACTTACTCAATGAGTATGAAGTGAATATTGCTCTGATATATGTTTTGTATGTTTATTGAAATCGAATTATTTTCCAACACAATTTGCATTATTTAATAGACATTATATCAAACATTGAATTAAAGCAAATATATTTTTTATTTCTAGATGATTCTTGATTGAAAGCCGTTTGTTTTAGCCAATCGCATTAAAAATAAGTGCATATATAACTATATATACAAAGTAGGACCAAAATATAGTTGAGAATGATCTAAAACTAATCATCTAATTGTTTGTTTTCCAAAATATGGTACGCCAAGAACAACATACCCTTGAAGACCAGCCTCAACCTGCCAGCATCTAAATTATAATAACATTCATAACTGGTGAGTTTGGTCCGATTTCAATGATAATTCGCATAATAATTCGCATATTGGATAAGTTTGTTTTGCATATTGTTATAAATTACTTTCTGTTCAATTTTATGAAAAATACAAATAAAATTTAAAAATATACATGAAGAGTATTGAAACTTTGTCATTCTCCGTTTTTTATTGTAGTTACTGTTGTTGTTTTTGTAGTTGTTACTGTTTGCTGGCTGCTGCAGCAGAAATCGCTGGACCATTAAAGGTCGCTTATATAATTTATCTGCAGTTGCAGTTGCAGTCTCTGCTGCAGTTGCAGCCGCTGTTAGAAAAACCGCAACGAGATCTCTAAGAAAACTGAAGCTGCTGGAAGCTGCTTGGAGTTGCTGTTGCTGTTGTTGCTGTTGCTGTTGCTGTTGCTATTGAGTTGAGGTGGTTACCAATGCGAGAAACTTGCAATTGGCCCGGTCAGTTGAGCCTCTTGATCCAAACCATTTAAATGATAGCCCAACATTCGTCACTCCACCAACCACCCCTCCTCAAGCCATCCTCAAGCATTTGGAAGCGTTTATCTTTATCATTTGTGCATATATCCGCATTGCATCAGCTAAGCTGCCTGCCAGACAGTCAGCCAAGCACTTCATAAATAACATTAACAATAACAATAACAACAACGACAACAACAACAACAACAACAACAACTGCAGCAACAATTAAACAAACAAACAGCACGAGACGCATGCTGAGTGGTGCGCGGGTGGTGCGCGGGTGGTGCTGCAAGTTGGCCTGTGTGGCGTTGGGTGGTGGCTACACTCTCGGTCTTCGATTTTGGTTTACTTTTGTTGCCTGTTGCCTGTTGCCTGTTGCTTGTTGCTTGTTGCTGGTTGTTTGTTGTTTATTGTTTGCATTGTTTCTCGTTTCGTTCATCGGTTTCAATCGATTGCGCAGCATTGTCGATGACATGTAATCGTTGTTTATGCCACGCCCCGCAACCCGCACACACCTCTGCCACCAGCAGTGCCACAGAGATTTCATTACGTTTGCCTGCCTTGTTGCACATGCCGCTCATTGGGCTAATTGTGGTATCAATTATGGCCACGTTAAGTGCCTACAAAAATAGCAGCGCAGCATCGTCAGCAATCTCTAACCGCCAGCTGTCAACCAACTACAACATATCTCCAACAAACCAACCACCCTCTCACCCCCACCCCCCCCCCCTCCACAAGCTCTCCCCTCTCCTCTCCTCTAATCACGCTAATTAAGTTTCGACCTCTTTTTGCCTGCTAAACTTTAAGTTAACATTTTATGCCCAAGCAAAGTATTTCGAGATCTTCAAGTAGTTGATCTCTCTAAGCTTTCATAAATCGTCAACTATTAAAAACCAACCCAACTCTACCTAATTTAATAGGTATTTTTTTATTGCCTGTGCGTATTTAAAGTTCCACTTTCAAAGTTATGTCAAAACTCGACCGATTTCTGCGGGATATGACCCATTGAGACCAGGTTCATAAATTCTCTAGAATATCGCGGGGCGGAGAGCGCTTGTCACGAAAATAGCTAGAGATTGATGTGTGTGTGTGTGCGTGTGTGTGTGCGTGTGTGTGTCTGTGTATGTGTGTGTGTGTGTGTGTGTATGAAGAGTTGTGGCATAACAAGCATAACAAGTGAGCTCCAATTATTAATATTTATGCATATGCAAAAAGACTCCAACAGCAAAACTCAGTTATTATTAATGTTGTTTGTTGCTTGTTGTTTGTTGCTTGTTGCTTGTTGCTGTCGTGTTGCTAGCGTTGATTTTTAATGATTTGCTAACGTGGGAAATTTGCAGCTGGAAACATTTTCTTTTGCATTAACATTTTGCCATTGTTGTTGCTGCTGCTACTGCTGCTGTTTGTTGTCGTTGTTGTTGTCGTTGTTATTGCTGTTGTTGTTGCTTGTAGTTGCTTGTTATTTTTAATTTTTACACTTTTTCACAATGTTACAAGTTATCCGTCGAATGTCTGCCGCTGTTGTTATTGTTGTTGGTGTTGTTGCAGTAGCCAAAGGCGCCTTTGTGCTATGCTAATCACATAATTAAATCAAACTTTCTATGATTTCCGCAACAATACGATAACAACGATAAAACCCAACCGATCGCAGATAAAAAACTATGCACTTCGCATACTGCATAGCGAAAGGGTTCAATTCACATGCAGAAACCGCCAGAGACAGTGAGAGGGGGAGCGGGGTTGAGATTATGTGTTGCCTTCCGCTAAATCAAATAATTATATTGGCAATCAGAAGCTGATTCGAATTGGATATACGAGTCGTATACGTGATATTCGTGAATCACAATTCGAGGCCCAGCCGAGTTCTGAATGCATGCAATGCATGCTGTGATTTGCACTCGCATCATAAGCAAATGCATGACGAATTAATATGCATATATAACATACATATATATATATATATATACATATATATGTGCCGATTTCATTCGGATAATTATCATAATTGTCTAGAAACAGGCATCCAAATCGATACAATGAGTAAGCAATCAATGCTATATTGACATGAGCTGGGTGTGATCATTAGCATGACAGATACAGAGAGAGAGAGAGAGGGAGAGAGAGAGAGAGAGAGAGAGAAGGAGAGAGAACGAGTGGGAGGTATAGAGAGGGAGCGAAGATCGTTCAAATTATATTCAAGGTGAATACTACAATAAATTTACATGATTTTAACTTTAGATCTATTCTAGCAGTTTTTCAAAGGCAGAAGTGAATTTTTAGATCTTTGTTACGCACTGAAGGAGACGTCTATATATATATATATATATTCTTGATTAGCATCAGCAGCCAACTCGATATAGACATGCCTGTCTGTTTGTCTGTCTGTCTGTCTGTTCAAATGCAAACTAATCTCTAAGTTTTGAAGCAATATATTTCAAACTTCGTTTTTTTGCTGCGGGCAGTATATGTATCGAATCGGATCACTATATCATATAGCCGCCATAGGAACAATCAGTCGAAAGATGAGTTCTTTTATGGGAAACTTATTTCTTTAACAGAATAGGCAAGCCAAACATACTCAATATGTGAATTATTATGCTTGTCTCTAATCATCGAGATCGGACCAATCTCAGCATTATTCAGCATGGGCAACAAGCAAATAGCATCGGACTACTGTATCATATTGCTATATGACAATCGTTCGATCTTTGGCATGCCTTATTTATATTTAATCTTACGTAACGTAATCTAATCTCACCCAACCTATCCTTGCCTAACCTAGTTCAAACCACGCTCTAAAGTTAAGAATTAACAAAAATGCAAAAATCTTCTTTTCACTATTTTTTGGACACATTAAACTAACTAAAAAAGCGCAATTAAAATTTTAAAAACAATTCTTCAAATACGAATTTCTTTTGCTATGATTCCTGATTCTCTTGGCGGATTTGGGCAGCTGTATATAGATAATATTGGTAGGATTCACTTGGGATTCACTCACCTTCTTTGGTTATAGCTTCTGTATCGGTTGCAGCTGCCTCGTTGCTGTCGTCATCATCTTTGGGCTCGAATTCGACCTGCGAAGTATCAACGTCGTAGAAATTAACGCGGGTCACGTGACGCACGTAGTCAGTGGCAGTGGTGGTGGTGCCACAATTGGTGGTGCCACTGGTTTTCTTATAATTTGTGTTAGTATAGCTGGCAGGTGGCTGTAGCTGTGGCAGGCTTGTGTCGACTCCACTTGGAGTCTGTGCGTAGATGCGATACACCAGCGATGCACTTGTCGCAGGGGCGTTGCTATAAATGTGGGCGTTGCCGTGCCCATCGGCATGGCCATGGCCATGGGCATGGACATGGGCGTAACTGCGGGGCGGCTTGGGCACCGCATTGGCTGTTGCTGTTGCTGTTGCTGGCAAGGGCGGCAGCCAGCAAGTGGACAGTGGCTGGTAGCTACTATGACTATGACTAGGCCCTGGGTGGTGGTAGTGGTGGTGGTGGTGGTGGTGCTGCTGCTGCTGTTGATGCTGCTGCTGGTGTTGGTGGTGGTGATACTGTGGGGCTGTAGTGGGCGTGACCGTGCTGCGATACAATCCAGCCGGTATTGCCGTATCGCCCGTGGATGCCGATGAGGAGACGTTGCCATTATTGCTGCTACTGCTGCTGATGCTGTTCCCATTGCTGTTCCCGTTGCTGTTGCCTGGCGAGGAGCTGCGCGCATTCGGTGGTGCTGGTGCTGGGGTGTGCTGTTGGTGGTGCTGTTGGTGTTGGTTTTGGTGTTGGTGTTGGTATTGGTATTGGTGCTGTTGGTGGGCGTGGCGAGTGATGCTGCTGCTGCTGCTGCTTTGGCTGCACGTGCATGGCGACAGTAGAAGGATCACCACCATTCGATCATCTGGCGGCGTGCAATGTGGGAGCGCTGGGCTTAGACTACATCGGTGCCGTTGCCGTTGCTGCTTGCCACCTGATGCCGCCTGTTTTTAGCTACTGCTGCTGCCGCTGCCGCTGGTGCTGGTGCTGCTGTTGCTGCTGTTGCTGCTGCTAGTGTTACTGCTCCTCCTCCTCGGCCGCCTGTTGCTGCCTAATTAATGTTGCACTTTCGCTGCAACCGATTTGAATTTCTTGTGCCATTTCAACGCGACACGCGACAAAAACAAAAAACTGGAACGTGAGGGCGAACCGAGTGTCTTATTTGTGATTTGTATTTCTTTTTTTTATTTTCTGCCAGTGAAATTTTGTAGCGTTTCGTCGACTTTGACTGGAAATCGGTTGCAAGTGTGAATTTTTCAATCAAGAGCACAAAGAGAACAAAGTTGCCGGCCTCAAAGCACAGCAAGCGTTGAGGCTTAGAACAAAAACGGTTTTCACCGTTGCCAGCAAACCATCATCCATCAGTGTTGCCAAAACGGCGCATTCTTCTTTTGGTTATAATTATAATATTATCCACATCGACTACATAGCATTAACCATAACTGAGCCTCAAATACAACCAAAACACAAACATCAAATAACTAATCAGAAAAATATTCGACATTTTAGAAATTCGAAATTGGAGCATAAAGATTGCAATCGAAAATGATTGTTTTTGGAGTGAGTATTTTTTGTATTCAAATATAAATATTGGATTTTTATAGCTATATATTTGTAGATATTATCTACATCATTAGCAAAAAATAAAAATAAAAGGGAAAAAACCAATATCAAATAATTGATGATATTTATTCAACATTTCAGAAATTAGAAATTGATGCATAAAGATTGCAATCGGAAATTATTATTTTGGATGAGCATATCTATATATATATTATACTTGCGCATAAATTTCAATTGCTTTTTAAATATATATATATATATATCACATAATTGATGATATTTATTCAACATTTCAGAAATTAGAAATTGATGCATAAAGATTGCAATCGGAAATTATTATTTTGGATGAGCATATCTATATATATATTATATTTGCGCATAAATTTCAATTGCTTTTTAAATATATATATAAATATATTTTTATCTTATATACGCTGAAACGCGCTTAATTTTTTTTTAATTATTTCTGTTTAGCCGCTAGAACCAGCTAGTTTGGCTCATTAGGAGTTTGGCTGGCTAAACACACACACACACACACAGACATAGACGGCAACGGCTCATAAAGTTAAGAGCCCATATATAAGAAAAACTGAAGATGAAGAATAGTGTTGTACACACACACACACACACACACACACACATGCACATGCACATATTCGTTGGCTTTTGGTCAGTTGGTTTATTACACAACTCACGACCCAAATGCACTCCAAAAAGGTTGCTCGAGTTATTATTGTTGCTGTTGTTGTTGTTGTGGTTGTTGGCTCAAAGGGCAGCGTGCATAGTTCAAGGCGGTGAAATGGAAAACAACTGAGCGAAAAGCACAATAACAGCAACAAACCCAAACCCAAATGCGGTCAAATGCGGCCAAAGGTCGCACCCACAGACGACAATTACCAAAAATAAGAAAAACCAAAAAAAAAAAACAGAAAAACTAAAAGTGGTTAACGAAAAAAAACCATCTGAAATGTGGGCCCTTTTGTGCAATTGGCCATTGGCACTGAGCAGCTGATTAAGCCAACTAAACAAGCCAATTGTGAGACAGTAGACAACCCCCCTAATACCCCCCCCCCCCCCCACCACCCTGCTTCATAACTAGAGTTTGTGTTTTAAGTACGTGACCAGAAGAAGAAGACGAAGCAGAAGAAGAAGAAGCAGAGCATGCATAATGCAGATAATAATGAAATTTGGAAATTTTCGTCCCTTGCAATTGACGAACTGAACGAATTTTTTTCATAATTTGTGTCTCAATTGAAGCAATGTAATACAACAACAAACAAACTTTTTGCCAAGTTCAACTTAGCGAAAGTGAAGCAAAGTTGTTGGTTCTAAACTTGGCTAAGCATTAAAATCAAATTGTAGACTCTTTTGCACGCTTCACATAAAACTCTAAGCATTTCGAGGCTTAGCTTCTAATGTTTAGATGTGGGTCAGCTAAGCGGAAGAATAAAAAAAAAAACAGCTCCCACAGTTTAATTAAAATTTTAAACGGTAATTCAGAGTTTGAATAAACTGTGATGCGAAAAAAAATAGAAAAAAAAACTCATCTTATTAGCGACTCAACGAAAGACGTTGCCAGCCTTGCACTTTGCTCAAACTTCCTGCTGCTACCTCGCTCACTCGCTCACTCGCAAAGCGCACTCACTTTGACTGCTGCTTGCCTTGTCTCTCTCGCTGAACACTCAGTATGGTCTCATCGGTCACTCACAACAGCTAGTTCTTAATTGTCATTTTGAGCGCAACTCTCCAAGCTGGGCATTCTTCATGGAGTCAAACTAAAACTCCTCCCCTCCCCACCCCACCCCACTAACCACATCTACTTCTTAATTATCATTTTGAGCGCAACTCTCCACTGGAGTGCCTTAATTGTCATTTTGAGCGCAAGTCTCCAAGCTGGGCATTTTTCATTATCTCAATCTACACGCACCCCCCGCCTCACACCTATTTCTTAATTGTCAGTTTGAGCGCAACTCTCCAAACTCTTCATTGGAGTGTCAACTGCTTTGCACTTTGCACAAATATCCCGCCAGGCCCGACTTCCCCTCCCCCGGCCTGCCTTTTGTGTAGTCAAACTCTCAAAGTTCTCACTGTTTTTGTTTTTCTTGTTGTTTATGTTTTGTTTTTTTTTTTCTTTTTATATTTTATATTTTAATTTGTTGCTGTTGGCTTTTTTTTGTGTGTGGTGCGCGAAACGATGCTTGAATCGTTAAATACGTTTTAACAATCAATTTTTGAGCTTTTGTCATTTGTTGTTGTTGTTGTGATTGCTGCCGCTTTGGGCGGCTGCCGGTTACCTTTTGTGTTGCTATTCGCGATCGATTGATCGATTCGAACAGAACATCATCAATATGCATATGACGTCAGACCGACAAAACAACAACAACAACTACAACATCAGCAACAACAACAACTAAATTATTGTGCCTGCAATTTGGCCATTTTTGTAATTACTTCCGTCCGATAGGACAAATTGAGAACCTTTTTGGCTCTGCCTTTGATTGGGGTTTTGGCCACGGTTTGTGCTTCTGTTTATGGCCATGTTAACAGTACTACCAAACCAAACCCAACCCAACCCACCCATCCCTCTCTCTCCCCTTGAAAAACATGAGTCACCCATTTCCATAGAAAGCCACGCCCCAAAATCAAAATTAAAAAAACACAAACAGACACAAATCCTACTTTGACAATTCCCAAAATATTACCAAAAAAATAAACAAACAAAAAAAACACAAAACAACACAAAATGCTATCGCAAATGCCTTTTACTTGACCCAAAAGCAGCACAATAAAAACAACAACAACAACAACAGCAACAGTTGCAACTTGCAACTTGCAACTGCAACAAGGCGTCGCGTTAGCCATACAAATGTGTTGGCCCGCAAAGAGTTTTGTTTTTGTTTTCGATTTTTTTTCTTGGGCCCCGCACAGTGGACACAAATTCAAGTGAAATAAAAATAAAAAAAAAAACTGATGTCTGAAATCTAAATCGAAAATTAAATTAAAAATTTAGGTGTTTCTTAAATGTAAATATTGTTATTTATTTAGTTGAATACTATCAGTGGCTTGAGTGAACATTTAACTTCTATTCCTGAATGCGCTCCAAGCTTTGTAGTGCTTGAAGACAGAAGAAGAATGGGGATCTTTGATGGCTTTTCGTTCTTGCTTCCCATACACTTGAACCACTGTGCGACGGCGGAGTCCACAAGTCACGCACTGGTCACCAAATACCCACACACACACACACACACACACACACACACAGACAGAAACAGACACCCCAAGTTGAAGCTGCTAATTTGCGCCTTTTGGCCAAACAGAGACATTGAATTGTTGTTGACCAAAAAAATAAAAACATACAAAAAATGAAACTCTTCAAAACATTTTCAGAAGAACCCCAACGAAAAAAAAAAAAACAGTTAAGCACATTGTTGTGGCAGCCACGAATTGTCTAAAGCAAAGTGCTTCGCAAGCAACAACAACAATAACAACTCAAAAGCTGCAGCTTGTGGGTGCACATACGCCTCCTCCCCCTCCCCCTCCCCCAGCCACCAGCAAAGCGCTGCAAGCATTTGTCCATTTTGTGAACGAATAATGCGCGTTATTTTGTTTGTATGTGTGTGTTGCTGTTGTTGTTGTTGTTGTGTGCGCTTTAATGGTGGGAAAATATTTTTGATGTGATTTTTTTTGGTTTTTTTTTGTAGTTTCGTTTTTTTGGTTTTTGGATTTGGGCAGCTATCGATAAATTGCGAGTGCGCCGCAGGATCTTTGAGGTTATGTGTAGAGTTGCGCTGTAGAGTTTTGGCTTAAGTTGAGGTTTGGCGTTACGTATACGCAACGATTATGCAACAAGTAGAAGCGGCCCAAGCAAAATTGGTGCACACAAAAACACAAAAAGCACAAAACAGAAAAACAAAAAAAAACAAAAAAAACAAAACAAACAACAACAAATGTCACGACACAATACAACACGACAACGTCGGCGGTTTTAATGATTAATTTTTTGCACGTAGTCTGCCATGTTAAGCGCACCACTTAAAGCTGGAACAGAGCGCAGCGTGTAGAGTGGAAGAGGTGGAGAGATTGGAGTATGGAGAATGCAGCATGTGCATATGCATTATGCATTATATTATGCATATGCAATAGGGCAAGTCTACACTACTGCAGTGTTGCCCCCCTCTCATAATTCTTTAGATGTGTGTGTAAGTGTGTGTGTGTGTGTGTGGTCACACTTTGTACTTTAACAAACATAAATTGACAACAAAAAATAGAAAGAAATTCAACTGACAACACTTTGGTGGATATAGTTCATATAATATTTAACCGACTTTTAATTGGCAAAGCGCGCGCATGCAAAACAACAAGTCAAAGTCGACACAAACAACAACAACAATAACAGCAAAAAAATAATACGAAAAAAAAGGAAAAACGAATGAAAAAAAAAAGAAGACAGAATTGTGTGCGCGGCGTGTTCGATTTGATGGCGCGGCGACGACTGCGGCGCTCCACGAGCTGCACCGTTAGTTTGTTACACCTGAGACGGACTGAATAGTTGCGCCGCGCTTTGAGCCAAGTGCGCGCTGCTTGCTGCTTGCTGAGCTCCATTGTTTTGCCACAGCGCCAAAGCTCTGCCAGTGCTGCACACAGGCACACACATACACACACTCACACACAGACACACAGGCTTGTCTGTGTGTGTGTGTGTGTGTGTGTGCTTCAATTTAGTTTGTTATGTTTTTGTTTTTCTTTCACTCACCAGTTCGTTCTGCTCGTCTTTGGCGCCAGCTTTCGATTTGCTCGTCTTGCTCAGTGCCATGGCGCCTCCCCAACAACCTCCACTTTGTATTTTTTCGTTGAGTGCGTCTCTCTTCCTCTCTCTCGCTCTCTCTCTCTCTCCCTCTCTATTTAGGTGTGTGTGTGTGTGTATGTGTGACTGCAATTTGAAAAATGTTTGTGCATTTATTGACAAGTGTTGCCTGCTTTTAGGCGGCGCGCGCATAAAAGTTTTCGTGCATATTGCTTCGTTTGGTTGCGGTCTTCGCTAAGCCGGCGTGTGCTCGTGCTTTCGTTAGTAAAATAATAACCGTTTTTTAAAGTCTTAGGTTATGTCAACAATTGGAATTATCCTGCTACGATTATGTATGATATTGATGGGCGCGTATCGACTCACGAAACGCAAACACGTCACGCACGACTTATTCGAATAGTTATTCACAATTGCACAGTTCTATTTACGAGCCGTTTTATTCCTTTTTATTGTTAAACATTTGATTCTGTCTGGTTTGGCTGGCACATCTCCCATCGGAATTCGCATTTTTGTGTTGACGGCTACAGCTTCAATTGTTAGGTGGTTTTTGGCGCCCACTATGTTCATAAAACGCTTTTGGTCAAAATGAGTTTTACGTATTTGGCCCAAAACGAACCTGAACTGACCGCCCACCACCAACACCCGCAACAACCACGCAATTCTCAAATAACTAAAGCGTTCTCGGCTCAAGTTTGGAAAAAGTTAAAACAAAACCGAAAACCAAAAACCAATTGGAAGATTTTAGCGATGCGACACACAAATCTCAAGGCGTTTGTTTATATGGATTTACACTATTACATATACATATCCACTTCTATATATATATATATATATATATATATATATGTATAACAGATTCTTATTGACGGTTGCTAAAAATGACGAAATGAACGAGTTATTTGCGCGACTTTACTCAATTTCGACGTCCCACACACAATAAGTGAATACAGCACAGTGATCTCTCGCTAAGTGTAACACTCCGAAAGTGCTTTAGATAAGAATCGTGATTTGCAATCGACGAAAATATTTGATATTTTTATGAGAGAATTTCCCATGACATTACACATAATGAATTCTTTTGAAGTAATTATGTTGTGATAATCAACGTTTTATTTGTTGTATGGGTAAACTTAGAGAGAGAGAGAGAGAGAGAGAGAGAGATAGAGAGTGAGATTTGTAGAAGTATTGAGTTATTCGCAAATGGCCAAGCTCTGCCAGTGATCACTGTATTTTTGGATTATTGCTGTGCGAGTGACGAGGGTCGTGAGAGCAGTTAAAAGCATAAATCGTATGTTTTTATAGTATATTTACATATGCATATGGCATATGGCATATGGCAATATGGAAATTGACGGACAATATTGTCATGTATGCAAATAAGTGCGACATGCGCAACGGAATGTCATCGAAATGACAGATAAAATCTGATCTTTTTAGTCAAGTACGCAGTGCGTTCATTTGAAGTTCAGTTCCCGGCTCCAGGCGCGACCAAGGCAAGGTCACACTGGACTGGAAGCGGTGGCGCGCACACACACACACACACACACACACAGCTCATAACACAAATATAGAATATTTGAGAAAGACAACAAAAAAAGCAAACAGCTGAAGAGATATATATTTCTGTTCAGTTTTGGTTTTTTTCTTTTGTCGATCTTGTCCAACTGGCTTGGCTTAAACGCTCAACTGGGCAAACAGATGTTGCGAAAATGGCAAATAAAACGGATGAGCGCGCACGCAACTGTCGCATTCCACGCGCCGTTAAGCGTCCGAGCATCTAAATATTCCAATGGGCCCGGCACGCGACCGCCTCCTGCTGACTAGCCCTTTTTTTTTGGATTTCCATGCGCAGGCAATCGTGTCAGATCAATCGATCTATCGGCCATCGATCGCTGTTCGTTCGATACACAATGCAAATTACGCACAGACAGACACATTGGCGCACACATTTATAAACAAAGACGCACACAGACAAAAATATATATATATATATATATATTTAATAAATATGGCTATTGGCAGGGCGTGTTTTTGAGATTTTCTATATTTGCCTGAGCTTTGGTTTTGTTTATCGTAACCACAAAAAAAAGAAGAAAATAAAAACAATAACAACAACAACGAACGTTGCAACTGGGCAACGCGACACGGCGACACACACACACACACACACACACACGTATATATATACCAAAAACACACACGTACGTTTGGAGGAGGCGCGCAAAACGTTTATTTATTTTATTTTTTTTTGTTTTTGGCCGTCGCGTTTGCGAGTTGCTACGAGCCAAGCTAAATGGTTTGTTGTCGTCTGTCCGTGCCAGATTCACAACTGATCTACCTGCTGCTCGCTAGTTGCTGCTGGCTGTCGCGCGCAGCCAAATTGGAATTGGCGATCGAGCGCACACACACACACACATTGTCGACTCCACTCCAGTCCCCTCCCGGCCCCACAGCCGCCTGTAAATCACATTCACAACAAGCTTAGCTTTTGCGGTCCATCTGCTAGCCAGATCCGCAGCTCGCAGCTCGCAACGCGCAGTTCGCATTCATTCAAGCCACATACCTGGTAAGCTCTCTCACTGAGACAGAGAGAGAGAGAGGGAGCCCGAGCGAGAGCTATTGTCATTTAATGTCCAACACTGGCCAAGCCGATCGATTGTTGTTGCTGCGCCTCATCAGGTTTTCTATGGAAAGAGCGACAGCATTCTAAAAAGCTTGCGCTCATTGTTTTTATAACCCGCACCCATTGAAAATGTGTGAAAATGGGTATAATTGTCTTGTGTAAATGTATGTAACAGGCAAAAGAAAGCATATACGATCCAATATAGCCATGTCCTGTAATGTCTGTAATGGGCTACACTTCAAATTTGGTATATAAGTTTTTCTTTTTACAGTTTCTTGCAAAGTTTTGAATAAAACTAGAATATAATATTTTCAGGATACATTCGACTACAGCATTCCTAATTGCTGTTGTTGCAGTGGCTTATGCACGATACCCATTAAACAAAATTGGGTGAGAACGGGTATGACGGGTATGTTGTGGACTATGGTTAATTCTAGTTTCTGTATATTTTTAAAACTCCGACTAAGAATTTTTAAGTAGGTGTGCAGTATTTTCGGAGTTGCCCACAGGGTATATGTTAGTCGATGCCGCTCGACAAGCTCTTGGCTGTTGTTGTGTGGAGCTGCGACAATTTTGGAGTTGGGCTGAAGGTTAGCCGCTTGGAATGTTGGCCGGCGTTGGCGTAAGCGTTGGCGCAAACTGCCAGTCCCTGTTAAGAGAGAGAGAGAGAGCGCGCAAAATATATATATAAATCGAGAGAGAGAGAGAGAGAAACACCCACACAGAGAGAGAGAGAGAGAGAGAGAGAGAGAGAGACACCTGTATTGCTCATTGTCGCATTGGCAGTTCACAGAATCGTTAAATCGACTATCTGAAATACTCTTCCGGCTTGGAGAACAATTGGAACTCGGAAATGCCTTCGTTTTGGCACGCGTTACGTGCAGCGCCTAAACAAGTGTGGCCACTTGACTCGCAACCACATGTGGAAAAATATATACATATATTGTGTATATATATATAAATATATAGATATGCGCAGAAACCGGTGCATTATTATTATTATTATTATTATTATTGCTCTCAATTTTCAATTTAATTTATTATACATTTTTGTTTTTGAGATTTTTATTTTTTTTTTTTTGTTTGTTTTTTTTTCTTCATTTTGTTGTGTGACGCTCGTTTTAGAACAATTTTAACGAAAAGTGTTTTATTTAACTTCTACCGATAATTTAATTGAGATTGCTTTATCATCTTTTGTTTTGTTTTTGTTTTTCTTTTCTTTTCTTTTTGAAATCTAACATATAGGCAATAAGTAATGTTGCTTTTCATAGGATTATCATCGGAAGGGCACATAATTTTGTCACTGATTTTTTTTTTTGCTTTTTTTTTTTTAGTTCGAAATTGGTTTTTGGTTAGATTTTGTACACAAGTAGATAACCTAAAAAATTCTAACCGGGGAAATATATGCGAGATGCGCAAAACGTGATTACAAAACGTGAATACAACAACATCAAAAAGAGACTAAAGTCATTATAAATAGTTGAATGAAACATTTCTGGAATAGTTCTTTCGTCATTTTTTAATCACGTTTAGGAGACCCCGTTTAACTATAGCATATGTGCAAATCTTTTGCAATTCCTCAATGCTACAAATTCATTCGATATATAATATAAATGTGTTTTGTATTGCATTTCATTTTCTTGTCATTTTGTATGTGTTTTTTGTTTTGTTTTGTTTTTTTTTTTTTAATTAAAACGCACGAATGTTAAAGATAACAATTCAGTAGTAATTTGTTAAGTTAAACAGTTTAAATGATGGAAATAATTAAACAGAAGATCTCATAACGGTACAATGGTGATGTTTTCGCTGCTAAAAATAAATGTGTGTAGAGGTGTTGTGTGTGTGTGTGTGTGAGTGTGTCTGTGCGTGTGTGAGTGTGAAGGCGTGGACAAATCTTTAAACTAATTACATACACATAAATTATGCTAATGATAGCGCGAGAGCTTTTAAAAAAAAAACAATAATCGTTTGAGGAAGGGGCGCACTAAATTAATTAGGACATCTAATTTTTACTTAGTTTTTTGCTTGTTTGTGTCTACAATCTAAATATCGGTTCAGTTTTGTCTGAACAGATGGCAACCAAAATGATTTTTGAGTTGTTTATTTTGTTTTTTGTTATTTGTTATTATAATGGTTTTGTATATGTTACTGGATGCATTTTTCTTTGGAGTTGTTTTGTTTCTCTTCTTTTTTGTGTGTCTTTCCCTTTGTTTTTTTTTTTTTTTTGCATTTGCATTTGTTCATCGATCTTCAGGTTGCTTGTTGAATGCTGTTTTTTTTTTGTCGCCAAGTTTTTGTTTGTTTGCTGAGTCGTTTGGTTTTCATCTGTAAATTGATGCCTGCTGCTGGCTATTTAGATACATCCATCAATTTTTGTTATTTGTTTGTTTGTGGTTGTTGCTGTTGCTAGTGCTACTGCTGTTGTTGTTATTGTTGCCTGCGTCCAATGCCTGAACTGCATTCACTCCATTTCCATTCCTTGCTGATCCTACATATATGTATATATTTTTAGTGGTTTTAGTCGCCCTGTCTGACAGCCTCTGCTTCATGCCTCTCATAATCTCTTGAGCATGCGCTTCTTCTCCTTGAGCAACTTCTCCTTCTTCTTATCCTGCAGCTTCTTATCGACGCCCGCATGCTTCTTTGTTGAGGGTCCATCATCATCTTTGGCATCGCTGGCGCCAGCACCGCACTTTGCCGGCTTAACAGAGAATGAGACATGAGAATGGCAATCAGAATTGGAATGGAAATGGGAATGTTTTGATGCAACAAACATACCTGGGCATGTATCTCTGTCATCATGCGTGCACGCTGCGAGTAGTCATCGTAGCGTTCGAGCAGCATTTTGCCAGCCTCCTCGTTGAGGGCCGATTCCGGATTGGGCACAATCAGTAGACATTTGATGGTTAGCAGTATGTGCTTAATGCCCAGATCCGGTTTCCAATCCTTTTTCAGTGTGTTCACGCATATCTCACCGTTCGACGCCACATTTGGATGGAAAATCTTGGTTAGGAAATACGCTTTTGGCGGCGTTTGTGGAAAATCTTTGCTCAGCGTCAGCTTAACACGAAAAATGCCAACGGCATACGGTGTGCCAGCGGGTCCATCGATTAGCGCTTGTATATCGGTCACATCGCTTTCATTGATCAGCACTTTGATGCCTTCGGGTGGCGTCGATTCCATGTCCTGCAGCTCCTTCATCACCTGCCGTATGGTCTGCGGCGACAGATTCTCCACATTCGAGTACTGCTGAAAAGTGCAATGTTGAAAAATGTTGCAATTAGTTTTGTTTTTTTTTCGATTTTCGCTGCGCACATTGCGCTAAACATTTGTTTACATTTACCGAACTCATGGCTGCTTCTGCTGCTGCCTGCTGTTGCTTGACTGTGTCTGTGTCTGCTGGTGTTGTGTGTGTGTGTGTGTGTGTGTCTGCCTGTTGTCTATATTTTTGTGGGGATGTGTGCGATGACTTGTGTGCGATTCTCAGAATGCGTCTCAAGGTGTTATTTGTATTATTTTTTTTTTGTATTTTTGGTTTGGTTTCCTTTTTGCAATAACGGCGCCAATGTCCTGAAGCTGTGCTTGCGTGCAGCGTTCGTAAAGTTTAAAAATTGGCTTGGCTTCTAACTGTATTTTCACTGGCGTCGCGTCAGCGTCTCGTGCATTGGCGGGGAACGAGGGGAGTTTGGGGAAAAAACGGTTTGCTCTGTTTTCGCTTTCGTATTCGCTGCTGTTTTTCCAATGTGCGCCCGTTTTATATGTCTGCTGCGATGTACGCTTTGCTTTGAAATTGTTTGAATACGTTGAAAACTGAAATTGTTTTGTTCTCTTATTTTGTTATTGGCTTTGCGACACATTTAAAACACAACAACAAAAAAAAAAAACAATTTCTAGTCAATTGTGCACACACTTCACGCTAAACAACAAAACACAAGTCTCCCATTTACAGAAACCCTCGTCGTATGGCGTGCGCTACACTTTGGGGCATGTGGCTTTTGGGCCAACGCTAATGCTTACATGCGTTCGTATCTTTGGTGGCAAATGTCTCCACTAATTAATTAGCTTTTGATAACTTACGTGTGTTTAGTAGGTTTAGTCTAATCGTATTGGATCTTCGTTTGGTTACGTTAATTATTACTATTTCTTGACTTTGCTGCCATGCAGCGTATGCAAAAGTATCCTCGATCGTACTATTGAGCAGCTATCTATACTCCTTTCATATGCATACACTAGTGTTGTCTCACTCGTGCTTATCGCGTTGGAAGGTTTCACATCAAATTCAAAATTACTCGAAGAATTTACAGTTTCGAATGAAATTAGATTTATATTTATTTTAAAACAAATGTGTGCTACTCAAATTAAATTGATTAACTGATTAACTGAGAAATAGAAGAAAAACATAAGTTTGCCATTTGTTTTGGGCCCCTAGCCAGCTTTAATGTCATTTTGTACGAAGTGTTGCCACATGCGTAGAAAATAGTTAAACATATCGATATATATGTAATGCAAAACAATTAATATTAAAATTATTTATGCTTACACGTTGGACAAGACTGAAGATTCAACTTTAAACATCATTATCGTACGATATCATTGTTAGCCAATATTAGAGAGCTAAGGCCAACTGAACAAGTTTCCAAATATATCGATATATAGGTGGATGCACGCACGATATCGGTGAATGGCGGTGCTCCAAGAAAAAAATCGCGATGTCTCGATGTTTTTTTTTTTACACAAACGCCAACGCATAATTTAGTATTAGTTTAGAATTTTTCCGATTATAATTTATTGAACATTATTAAATTTTGCTGGCTGCTGCTGGTGGTTGGCGCCGCGACGGCACTTGAATGAACGCACTGCATCAGTTGTGCTGCGTTGCTGTTGCTGTAAAATTGTGTGTGCCAGTGGAAGTGGTGCAAGTGGAAGTGGATTGGAAGTAGAAGTAGAAGTGGAAGTGCTCAAAAATGTCGAAAAATAAAATAAGCACAACTGCAGCGACGGCAGCGAATGCCGAAACGAATCTAATTGAAGTGAAATCAAAGGTGAGCAGCAACTAGCATTTTAATAAGATACAAATTAAACGAATTTACGAATGGATCATAATGAGGCTGCCACTGCCACTGCGGCTGCGGCACTGCTGATTCATGCATGTTGAAATGACAGTGGAAACGGGTTGTTGTTGTTGCGCTTGTTGCTTGTTGTCCAACAACAGCAACAGTTGGTTTTCAGCTGCCAGTTTGAGTTCATTAAATGTACTGCTTATTTTATGTGCAAATAATTTTGTTGGTTTGTTTGCATGTAGTTTGATGCCGAGTTTCGACGCTGGAGCTTTAAGCGACATGAGCCCGAGCAGAGCTTCGATAAGTTCGCATCGCTCATCGAGCAACTGCACAAACTGGCCAACATACAGTTTCTAATACTCTACATTGATCCGCGCGACAACGATCTGTTGCCCATCAATAACGATGACAACTTTGGGCGTGCACTGAAAACAGCACGTCCGCTGCTGCGCGTCATTGTCCAGCGCAAAGGTGAGTGATTTTTTTATATATATGCTTATATATATGTATACATATTTTATTTACAATGTCGCACAGACGATCTGAACGAGTACTCGGGCTTTGGCACGATGAAGCCTCGCAATCTGATTGGCAGCATACTCGGCCATACGCCGGTCAAGACCAAAGCGCCCTCCATATCGATACCGCATGATTTTCGGCAAGTGTCAGCCATCATTGATGTGGACATTGTGCCGGAGACGCATCGGCGAGTGCGTCTACTCAAGCATGGCAGCGACAAGCCGCTCGGCTTTTACATACGCGACGGCACCTCGGTGCGTGTGACCGCCAGCGGGCTGGAGAAGCAGCCGGGCATCTTCATATCGCGTCTGGTGCCCGGCGGTCTGGCCGAAAGCACCGGTCTTCTTGCCGTTAACGACGAGGTCATCGAAGTCAATGGCATTGAGGTCGCTGGCAAGACACTGGATCAAGTAAGTCAAACATTGTGTGCCTAATCATGTCTAATTATTAATTACTCAACCATTCAGGTGACCGACATGATGGTCGCGAACAGTTCCAATTTGATTATAACCGTGAAGCCGGCCAATCAGCGTACGCTGACGTCCACGAATCGGGGATCGTTCTCGCGGAACAGTCAACTGTCGAGTGGATCGCATCACACGAATCACACAAACACATCCGATGAGCTAGAGCATGAAGATCAGGATGATATTGTCGATTTGACTGGCGTTACGCTCGACGAGAGTCCGACGGGCAACGTTACAGTTACGACAACTCACACATCGTCACCGTCCACGCATCACAAACAGGCTGCCTCCAATGCATCCACAATCATGGCCAGCGATGTCAAGGATGGTGTTCTGCATTTGTAGAAACAAAAACAACAACAACAACACATCATCAATAACAGCAACAACATTTATAAGCAACAGCTGCAGCGGGCACTGGATCAATACACACACATACACCCACACACACACATACACACACACACACATACATACACCCACTCACATACATACATAAAATGGGGAATATATATATATATATATATATATATATATATATTCCACACATTTCGATACGTTTTCATTTCCAGTTTTATGCACGAATCCCAGAATTGTTTTAATTAATTTTCCACTCTAATTTGTTCATCCCCCTCCAATGATGTATTTTAAATGTAAGCATTAATGTCCTTGTTATTATCATATATATATATATATATTATATTCATTAATGTGTTACACCAGTTAGACAGACAAAGACAAAGACATATATAGAGAGAGAGAGAGGGAGCGAGAGAGAGAGAGAGAGGGCAAGCGAGCGAGCGAGTTTTACTTGTAAACCAATTGTTTAATTGCAATAATTATATACACACACAAACACACACCTGCGCTCCTTAAAATGCCTCGAACTTAAACATTGCATTCCATTTATGCACTTTGCGGCACACACACACACACACACACACATACACCTACAACAATTAAACATTTTGTATGTACTTACAACTAAAAACTTAAGAAAAATGTTTTGTATTTTTTGTTTACCCCTCCATTTTAATATTTTTTTAAATATGTATGTAACGTGTGCGAGCTTAAAAAAGTGTTACTTAATATTCTTAATATATATTTTATTTTATTTTATTGTATTTTTCTTTTAAATTGTTTTTCGTAATGTGTCTAATACTCGTTCAAGTTTTGTTTTTGTATTTGTTAAAAAAGAAAGAAAAGAAAAGAAAAGAAAAGAAGAAAGACGAGGAACTAGAAAAGAGAAAACGAAAAACAACTACCAAAACACCAACAGCGCCTTTAAAAAATAGCAACGCAAAACGTTTTATACACCTATATACAATATACGATATACTATACTATATATCTAATAGAGTTTTATACACGGATCTATTATTATTGTAGTCAAAATTGAGCAAAAGACATTAAAACGAAGAAGCAGAAATGCAAAAACTACGGACTTGAAGTTAACAATACACATATGAGAGACAGGCATATTTTAGATATAGACATACCTTTATAAATCTATATAGTTAGTGTAATGCGTTAAAAGGCAGCATCTAATTGTAATCCGAATACCGAATACCCTACTACTATATACATATATATAAAGGAAATGTTAGATTGACTGCGTTGCGCAAGTCAAATCAATAAATTTACGTGTATTTAATAATAATCATACAACTAATACGAATCGAACAACAATAACTCTACACTAAATATATAATTATACAAAGAAACACACACTCTCAAAAAACACACACACACACACTCGCAAGCGCATTCACAACGGCATTTGCTGGAAAAACAACAACAACAGCAACAAAAACAACGTCTAAGATCAAGTAATATTATGATGCATGTATTTTTAATAAATCTTAAGTGAACTTCTAAGTGCACTGAAAACATATTACAAAATGCATTTTCCCATATTATAAACATCAAGGACATCAACAGAAAAAATTTAAAGCTAACTCAAAACACTGGATTAGAGAAGATTATTACAAACCAATTCGAACAAATATTACTGAGAATTATTTTGTCTTTTCCAATCATCAACTCCTCTCCATTTGCAGAGGAGAATGCGTAGAATTCCGCGCTTGTTTACCAATTTTAAAATGTTGAATAACAAATAGTTGCCATCGTATTGTGTATTTTGTTTATTTGCGATTCATGATTAAAAAATGAAGGACCACTTATGTAACTACTGAACATATATGGAATACATGGAATTTTTGTAATATAAACGACTTAGTTGTACTAATTGAAATGCCTAAAACGTAGCTTAACGTTTCATTTGTTTTGTTTGTTTTTTTTTTTTTTAAGATTGGCCTTTGATCAATTGTAATTGCATTATTTATACAGCGAAATGGAATTTTACATTTAGGTACAGAGACGGCCGTTGAGTTAGGGGAAGAACAAGAGGAAGTAAGAGAGAGAGAGAGAGAGAGAGAGAGAGAGAGAGAGAGGGGAATCGAGATTCACGTAAAGTTTTGCATTTACAACACTAAGTTTACAAATAACGATTGAGCTTGCGATGCGCGATTTGGGGGCAGTTTAGTCATTCACTGCATCGCCGAGAACACTTGCCGCATTGTTCTCAAAGCACTTCCAGATGGTGCGTGCAGCGGGCCGATCCTCACTGTGTGCATTGGTGCACAAATAGAACAGCTCCACAATGCAGTTGTAATCATCGCTAAGCTGAAAGGCAACCGGCAGCGGCGGTCGTGTTCCATATGCCTGCTCCACATGGGTCAGTGAAAAATCAGAGATATCATTCTCTTTGGTATCATCCTCATCCTCATCTTCTACCGAGTCATCAGTGGCATTATTATCGACGCACTCGTGCGCCTTGTCCTCCCTTATGGAATTATCTGTTAGATTCATTTGCTTGCGCTGCGGCATCGCCGGCTCTTGTGAGTCCAAGTCGATGACGGCGCCGCTGCTGCTGCCAAATGCGGCGTCCAGCTCGAGTGTGTGTGGAGGGACCAGCGCCAGTGTCTCGTAGATGGTTAAGCCAAAACTGAAAATGTCTGCTTTGCTGTCAATGATATCCACACCATCCATTACCTCCGGCGGTGACCACAAAGCCGTTCCTTAAAAATGATAACAAATATTCAGTTAAAGCTGGCCCATTACTATTGATGTTATTGTTGCTAGCTGCTGTACTTACCCACATATTGCACCTGCGGATGCTTGTTAAAGTTGATCTCACCGTTCTCGTCCAGGGGCAGTGTGACGCCAAAATCGCACAATTTGCATATCTCAAATTCGCCCTTGACGAGCACATTGAAGGACTTTAGATCGCCGTGCAGCAGGCGCGCCTCGGTATGCAGAAAGTCCAAGGCATGCGCAATGTCCATTATCATTTTGAATGTGTGTTTGGCGGGCAACGGCCCAAGATCCTCATCGTGCCGCTCCTCCAAAATGGAGCCCAGCGATGTGCTGCACATTTCCAATGCCAATGCGTCCACACCCTCCAATGACTTGTAGACGCCACGAAAGCCAACAATATTTGGATGATTCAGTGTGCTATGGAATGCCAAACGAAGCAGTTATCATTATCATAGTATATGGTATACAGATATAACTGCAGTTGTTGCACTTGTGTGTATCATAATTTTGTGTATACCAAAAAGACTCACGCATATGCATGCACACGCATGCATAAACCGTACACATACGGACGCATGAGGCAACACACACGTGTGTGTTGGGGTGTGTGTGTGTGTGTGTGTACACACACTTATTTTGGTGTGTATAGTGGAAAATACATACAAAGCATAATCTGATATGAATTGGAAAATGGAGTGCTTACCGCAAAATGGCTGCTTCGTGTATGATGCGCTCATTGTAAATGGGATCCTTTTTGACTCGGGTACGTTGGGTGATGCGTTTAACGGCCCACGGCGAACGTATGTTACCCAGTTTGGGTGACCTGTCCAAACGGTAGACACTGACGCCGGTGCCATGTCCAAGTGTTTTGAGCATCGGTGATGGTGGTATTTTTATGGGTGTGCTGTTGTTCTGCACATTCTCCATGTGCAGATTGCGCAGTTTACGACGTGGCGTGTCCATATGGCTGGCTATTTTGAGTTCCAGTCCAGGTATCAGCGAGAGTGTGCGGAAAAGAAAATAATTTATTAACCAAGAGACGCGCACAAAATCGCCGTTTAATTGAAAAGTAGGAATGGCTACAAATCTCTATCGACTGGCGCTTATTTTGTATCGATAGTTCGATTAATGTCTTTAAATTTCAATCAGTTTTTTCTTTTTTAAAAACGATAATACACTTACAAGAGCTATCGATATCAGACAAGAGTAAAATATACTCATTTGGCGTTGTTGTTACACAGCATTTATTTATTAAATAACTAATAACAAAATACACAAAGCCATACAGCCAGAAATGAAATTCCCGTTCAAAAATTAACCCTATAAAAGAAAATATCATTACCTTTCTTCTGATTGGACAGGCATAATAATGTTTACCATTGACACTCTGTGAAAGCTATTTACGTAGTTTTAACAGAGGAGCCACATTTGGTGCTTATTGTCAATTGGCATACAATAATCCAAAGCCAAACCCAGAAAATACAGAAATACATCGGGAATCGCGGACAGCTCAAATAGAGGGTCAGAGGGTGGAATAATTAAAATGGATTTGGAGCGCGACAACTATCAGGCCTTCTTTGAGAAGCTGCACAGGTGAGTGCAGAGTCAAACTGCTAATGCAACCCAAATGGTCAATCAATGTTTGTCATATTGCAGCACGACCAGTCCACGTAATCTTAGCCAGATTTTCGAGGATGACAACAAGCTGATGCAAAGTGAAACGAAAAACTTGCGCTACCAGCCGCAGTCGGAGCAGAAGATGCAGCAACAGCATAAACCCAAGACAAAATTGCAGCGCAACAGCAAGCCGGATTCGAAGACGGGCGAGAGCTGGACGACGCTGATGGCCGTGGTGGCCGAGGCGTACAAGGGTAACGATGCTGTCGGTCGCGTCGGCCTGGCTTTGTTGCGCAATGAGGCCGGTGCCGCCCAGCTGATGGTGTACAAAAACGGGGCTAAGGTGCTCAGCCGGTTGCTGCTGACCAAATCGACAGAATCATCGCAGCCACGCATCGGCCAAGGTACTGTGATAATGCGGCAAACCTATTTGCAATTCTTCGACGATGAGCACTGCTTCTGGAGCCTTCATATTGAACTGGCCAAGGACGAGGAGCGGTTCACACAGGCGCTGACAAAACTGGGCATGAATTTAGACGAAACAGCCAAGAATCTAAACGATAAATCCTGGGCCACAGCCATCGCCATCGCCACATCGTCAACCAAAACCACAACCACGATGCAGGCGGAATCAGCAGTCCGAGCGAGCAACGATGACAGCGAAAGCGAGTCCGCACAATACGGCGACGATATTATCACTACATACGATGCACGTGCACCAATGGCAGCACCAGCACCTGTGGCAGCCACCAAGGCGCTGATAAAAAGTTGCAGTGCTGTCTCGCTGCCCAGAAGCGAACCGCAGATGTCCGTAGGCAAGCTGGAGATCTATCTGGATGAGCAGCGTGCCACCGGTCATTCCATAGATAAGAAAATGGAAGCCATAATGCAGGCCTTGTGCCGCCTGACCGGTGACAGCAACATCACCAGCAGCAGCGTGCACCACTTGAATGATAACGGCGATTCGGCTGCCATTGGCACGTCCAAGCAAATAGATAGCTTACTGCAGGCGAGGAAACTGATGCAGCCCTGCAATGACAACGATGAAGATGAGCTGCTGGAGCTGGAACAGAAGCTGCTCGATCTCAAAAAGGAGAATCGTGCTCTGTTGAAGAGCTTGAGGGTCAAGGAGCAAGCATTCGATGACTTGCGCACCACCACCGGTGCCCTCTGCCAGGATCTGGTGAGCCAAAACACTGAGCTCCGGCAGCAAAACACATCCCTGATCGCAGCCATGTCGACAACATTGAGTCGAACAAACGCTGACAACCTGACCATGACCAACTGCAGCAACTGTGAGCAGCACTTGACCAAGATCGCCGCATTGGAGACTCGTCTCATGGCGATGCAGAACGCATTGCTCAAGTATACGACCAGCAAGGGCGCAACTGCATCCCCGCCTCAGTAAATATTTGGGGCATTCTTCTTGTTGAACCAGCACTGTTGTATTATATATATAAATATATGAAAATCTACAATATTAATTGTCATTTCAAATTATCCAAAAATTGTGAAAACGAAGCGACATTTTTAATTATGAGTATTACCTATCACAAGTGGTATTCTTTCAATATTTTTGTAAAAAGTCATAATAAACATAATAAAATGTTTGTTGTCAATCTTAATTAGCTAAGAGATATTTATCAATGTATTGTCAATTTAATGAATTAATTAATTTATGAGATTTGCAAAGGTTTTTCTTTGGCAAATTTATCTGAAGTCTAGTTGAATTTGTCTAAAGTAATGGCAATCTCAGCATTCGACGTGCAACCGGATCGAAACACTATATAACATAAAGCTAACCGAATAGCAATCGGTCAAATAGCAATGAGTCTTAGGCTTAAGCACACTTTGCATTGTGTGTCTATATCAATAAAAACTCTTATCTCTACTCTAATTTAACTATTGTCTACAAAGATTAGTTCATCTTCGGCATGCCAGAGACTTCCGTGCTCTTCGTTCCGTTTGAGTTTGCGCCGAATACCCTTTCTTCATCCTGTCGACTATGTCTCTTAGTGTGTGTATGTGTTTGGTGTCTTTTAAATACATTTTGCACACCGAAACACGACTAAGGCTTGCCCGACTTTATACGAACCCAATCCGAATAGTAAACAAAATATCTGCATTCAACACATTTGTACAAACTAATTTGTTGTATTTGCGAATCATAGGAGAGGGATACCTTAACACTAAGACAAGACTAATGTGAGTGTAGGTGTAGGTGTGTGTGTATGTTGTGTCTGTGTGTGTGGCATACATTTGGGCAGTCTGCTGTTAATTGAGGAAGCGCAGGGGAGCTGAACCGCCAGCTGTGCTCACATTGGCATCATCATCATACATATATATATATATATATATATATATATGTAGGTATAACTATATATACATATATATATATATATATATAGGAATAACTCGCCTAACTTGCTGTTTTCCATTGTCTGCTTTTGTTTTGTTTAACTAAACGATAGACGAAACTAAATGCGTGGAAAGTGGTGCTGCTTTGGGTAGTCCGTTGCTAGTAGGTGCTGCTATCGCTGAGGCTGCTGAGGTAACTGCTGGCGCCCGGTGCACTGGAGCTGGCGACACGATGCCGCTTGCGTTTGGCCTTCGCCTTCTTGCGTCGCGGCGCTGACGTCTCCGCCTTGCGCTTATATTTGCCCTGACGCTTCTTCTTCCGGCCATACTCGTCCGATTCGCTCGTGCTCGACTCCTCGTTGTCACTCGAATCGGATTCCGTGTCGCTGCTGGACGAATCCGTATCCGAACTGGATGTCTCGCTGGCTGATGATGATGACGATGATGAGCTCGAACTGCTGCTGCTGCTGGTGGCGGGGCGACGACGTTTCGATTTCTTGCTGCTGCTGGTGCTGCTGTTGTTGCTTTTGTGTCTCTTGGACACCTCTTTGCTGCTGCTGCTGCTGGTGGTCCTGATTTTGGTGTCGTCGCTGTTCTTCTTGTGCTTCCTGTTCTTGCTCTTTCTCTTGCGCTTCTTGTGTCGCTGTTCGGCTTTAGTGTTGTTGTGTTTCGCTGCTGCTGTTTTGCTGCTGCTCCTCTTGGTGCTCTTGCTATTGTTGTTGCTTTTGCTGCTGCTGCTGCTTTTCTTATCTGTTGTTGCGGTTGCTGCTGTTGTTGTTGTTGCTGCTGCAGCTGGCACAATGTCGCCTTTGCCGCCACCGCCGCCGCCCTTGAGCTCCTGAGCGCGCAGCTCGGTTAGTGGTGTCAAATAGTCAAGCTCCGAGTCTGAGCTGGTACTTTCCACATCGAGCAGTATCTCCTTGTTGGGATCAACCTAAGAACGTCGAAAAGCGCGTGTTATTTTCACTCTCTCTCTCTATGTCTCCCTATGTGTGTCTGTCTGTCTGCTCAGTGTGTGTTTTGTTCGGCTATCGGCTTACCTTGAGAAAATTGCGGCATTGGTAGGTCAGGTGACCAGCGTAGCCGCATTTCTTGCAGGCCGCTCTCAGCGTATCCTTGTTGGCATTCGCTAGAGGAAAGTTCATATTGCTTGCCGAGTTGTATTTTGCGCTATTCTTATTTATTACTAGTCCATTAATTGACGTGATTGCGGCTGTGGCTCAGTGGCTCAGTCTGGTCTGCTCTAACCACTAGTGCTGGACGAGGCATCGATATATCGATGACACATCGATAGTATTCAATTTATTTTGCAAACATCGATGCACTTGTGCGTAAACATCGATAATTGTCCACCACTACTTTATACTCGTGTGCAACATTTCTGGCAAGGCGTGTTCGCTGCGATGTTTCTTATTTTTTTCAGGGAGTATCGGAGTGTACGATGTTTTATTAGACATTTTTCAAAATAATTCCCGTAGAAAATTCTCACTTACAAATGTATGATATATATGTAAAAAAAAATACAAAAATATATTTATTTATATGATAAAATTACACAGACAACCTCAATCCCATTGTACTACAATTGGAGGATTTGTATTATTGCAAAACATCAAAGTATCGATGTTACATCGATCAAGAATTCATAATTTTAATTTACACCAAATTGATTGAGAACACTGCCAACTTATGATTTTGTGACTAAATTATATCAGATACAAATCAAAGCTAAGACATTTGTTTGTTTAGAGTTTTGACACCTTGCAGGTATTTATAATATTAACGGAGATGATATAGCCGCAGCCAGTTATCGAATTTCAAAATAAAAAACGCAGTGCCAATTTCTCTTTTTCACATTCGATACATAGATAGGCAAGCATCTTATCGCTTGCTATCGATACTATAATCGTACTCGTGGACACTTGCTATCGAGTAGTAACACAAAATTTGCAGTGCCATTGTGTCCCCAGTAAAAGAAATGCCCGAGTATTGCCAATTGATGTAGACTTAAATTCGACGTTGCCAAGTGGAGTTGTAAGCAGGTCAGATCAGCAGGTTTCAGACGACGCTTTCACCGTTTTCACAAAACATCGTACAGAGAACAGAACACTCGACACTATAACGATTAGCAGCAGCAGCAGCAGCAGGAGAGGTACCAATTAATCTTGAGATGCAACAGAACGCAGTCAGCAATCCGTTTTCGGTGGCCGCCTATGGCGACCGACCCCAAATGGGACTTGACGTAGAGTTTGGTGCGGATCCAGCAAGCGGTGCAGCGTTCTTTCAGAGCGATGGCCGGAAACATGACGATCTCAAGCAGATGCTGGACAGCAATAAGGATGGCCTCAAGCTGGAGGCGATGAAGCGCATCATTGGGATGATAGCGCGTGGACGCGATGCCAGCGATCTGTTTCCCGCCGTTGTCAAGAACGTCGTCTCCAAGAATATCGAGGTAAAAAAACTGGTCTATGTGTATTTGGTGCGCTATGCCGAGGAGCAACAGGATCTGGCCCTGCTCTCCATATCCACATTCCAGCGCGCCCTCAAGGATCCCAATCAATTGATACGCGCCAGTGCACTCCGCGTCCTCTCTTCCATACGCGTCAGCATGATTGTGCCGATTGTAATGCTCGCAATACGCGACAGCGCTGCCGATCTGAGTCCATATGTGCGCAAGACGGCGGCACATGCTATACCCAAGCTGTACTCATTGGATCCGGACCAAAAGGATGAGCTGGTTACGGTGATTGAGAAGCTACTGTCGGACCGTACCACGCTGGTGGTTGGCTCCGCCGTAATGGCTTTCGATGAGGTGAGCTGGATAGCAAAAGCAGTTTCTCTTTCCACATAGTTTCCAGCATGACTTGACACTGAGTATTGTTTTGTTTCTGTTTTGGTTTTGTTTCTGTTAGGTTTGCCCGGAGCGCGTTGATCTCATACACAAGAACTATCGCAAGCTGTGCAATCTGCTGGTGGATGTGGACGAATGGGGTCAGGTGATCATAATCAATATGCTGACACGTTACGCACGCACGCAGTTCGTCGATCCCAATCCGGATGAGGAGCACGGCCAGATACAGGATGCCCTCGATGGTCAGGCGGCCGTCAATGATGAGCGCTTCTACGATGAGTCCTCCAATTCCAGCAGTGAAGCGAATGAAGCTTCCAGCGAAGAGGAGGGCGCAACTGCAGCAGCCACACCAGCCACAAGCACAGCCAAAGCGAAGAGCAAGTCGAGCAACAACAACAGCAACAGCAATGATAAAGACAATGACAACAACGGTGGTGGTGGTGCTGGTGGTGGTGTTGGTGCCACCGGTAGCTACCACATCGATTTGGATCACCGGTTGCTGTTGCGGCAGACAAAGCCACTGCTGCAGTCACGCAACGCATCCGTTGTGATGGCCGTCGCCCAACTCTATCACCATGTGGCGCCTCGCAACGAGGTGCAACTGATTGCGAAGGCACTGATTCGCTTGTTGCGCTCGCACAAGGAGGTGCAGAGCGTGGTGCTTAACTGCATTGCATCGATGTCGGCACGCCGCAAGGCCATCTTTGAGCCGCATCTGAAGTCGTTCTTTGTGCGCACCAGCGATCCCACGCATCTCAAGCTGCTCAAGCTGGACATACTCACGAATCTGGCATCTGCCTCGAGCATCTCGCTGATATTGCGCGAATTCCAGACATACATTTCCAGCAGCGATCGTAGCTTTGTCGCAGCCACCATTCAGGCCATCGGCCGTTGTGCGGCCAGCATTAAAGAAGTCACCGAAACATGCCTTAGCGGCCTCGTCCATCTGCTCTCCAATCATGACGGTAAGTGCTATCCATCTACCTATTCCTATTTTTTATTCCCATCGCGGATCAGTCGAGAATCTAAGTTTTTCGCTCTCATTTTTGTATGTAAACAGAGCATGTTGTGGCCGAGAGCGTGGTGGTTATCAAGAAGCTGCTGCAGAGCAAGGCCGCCGAGCACTACGAGATCATCACACAGATGGCCAAGCTGATTGACTACATCAATGTGGCGGCGGCACGAGCGGCAATCATTTGGCTAATTGGCGAATACAATGAGAAGGTGCCGCTTATTGCGCCGGATGTGTTGCGCAAAATGGCCAAATCGTTTGTGGATGAGCAGGATGTGGTCAAGTTGCAGGTGCTCAATTTGGGCGTCAAACTCTACTTAACCAATCCAGAGCAGACGTCGCTGCTCTGCCAGTATGTGTTTACGCTGGCCCGCTACGATACCAACTATGATGTTCGCGATCGGGCGCGCTTCTTGCGCCAGTTCATCTTTCCCGCCAGCGCCGGCAGCACCGTGCTCACCCAGCACGCCCGTCAGGTATTTCTGGCATCGAAGCCGGTGCCAGTGCCGGAGAGCAAATACCGTGATGGCAATGTCTACCAGCTGAGCTCACTGTCCCACTATCTGAATATGCATGCCACCGGGTACAAGGAGCTGCCCGTGTTCCCAGCGGTTGCACCCGATCCAAGTGTCCGCAACATTGCCGGCTATATGCAGGAGAAGCTGCCCGGCGATAGTCCAGGGCGGAGCAAGGATTCGCCCAAGGGCGATGCCAAGGAGACGCGTGAAAAGGGCTTCCTATCCGAGTCAGAGAAGTCTTCCGCTTATTCCGAGACCAGTGACAGCGACAGCAGCGACGGCTCATCCAGCAGCGACAGCGAACCGAACGATGATCAGGATCAGGCAACGCAGCAAAAGCAGAACCAGAACCAGAAACAGAAGCAACCGCAGGCACAGGCACAACCAAAAGCACAATCGCAGACACCAAAGTTAGATCAAGTGGTGACCAATCCAGCTGCTTCCAATACGGCTGCGGCTGCTGCTGCTGCTACTGCTGCAACTGGTAACAATAATAACAACAACGCTGTCGACGATTCTGGCACTTCCGACAGCGGCGAATCCTCGTTCTACAGCGGCAGCAGTGACGGCGACAGCAGCAGCAGCGATTCGGCCAGCGACAGCGAGGATGAACAGCAGCCTAGGAAATCAGCAACGGTTGCCGAGCAGGCGCCCAATCAGGATCTGGAGCAGCCGCAATTGTCTCAACCGCAGGATCAAGCTCAGTCGCAGACGCAGACGCAGCCGGCAGCAAAGAGCAATTTGGATCTGTTGCTCGATCTGGACGATATACCGCCAATTGGGCCAGTAATGACGCCATCGCTGGGTGGATTCCTAACGCCAGGTTAGCTATTTGAAGCTTTAATTGCAATTTAGTTGCCAACTAATTTGTGTCAAGAGAATGGCAAAGAGAAAGAGAGAATTGTAAAATACTTTAGAAATAAATGAAAATTACAATCAGAGAGCAAGTGAACCCTCAAGTGAATCCTCCGAGTTAGTTGGTTAGTCAGACAGCGAGAGAGTGAGAGAAAAGATGGAGGAAAGCATAGCTTTTAGCAAGCAATTAGCAGCTAAACTAAGTACCTACCACTTTAACTGATACTCATAACATTGACAGGTACACCGATGATGCCTGGACAGGCTGCACTGCAGCCGCAGCAGGCGCACAATCGCATCGAACTGGTTGGGCCATCGCACACGGACTTCAAGCACAAGGAGCTGCTGAACAAGGTTAGCGGACATGGTCTGCAGCTGTCGTATCGTTTCACACGCGCACCGCATCTCTACTCGGCAGCGATGTGCTCGATTGAGCTGCAGTTTCAGAATCGCAGCGATCAGGAGCTGGACAACATACGGATGGGCCAGCAGCAGCTGCCGTCAGGAATGCAGTTGAGCGAATTTGCACCGATCGTTCAACTGCTGCCCCAGCAGATGGCCAGCGGTATTTTGGGCGTTGATTTCAATGATACGACGCATGCGATTGACTTCGAACTGGTCTCCAGTGCGGGCACGGTGCGCGTCCAACTGAAGCCGCCGGTGGGGGAGCTGGTGCGTTCGGTGCACATTGGCGAGAGTTGTCATCGTGAGGAACGGGCCAAGTTGCGGGGCATGAACGAGCATCAGTGCGAGCTGCGCGGCGTGCAGCGTGAACTGCTCGATCTGGTTGCACTCAAGCAGAAGATCTACGAGTGCATCAATGTGGCGCACACGTACAGCTCGGCAACGGGCCAGCTGCATTGCTTTGCCGGTCAGACGCTGAGTTCCAAGAGCCTGGTGCTAATCACGCTGCAGTGGCAAACGGATGATGCACTCACCCTGCTGGTCAATTGCGAGAAAATGGTCATTGGCTCCATGGTGCTCAACGATCTGCGCAATGCCCTCCAGCTGAGCTTTGCCACCTAATTGGGCAACAGACTACATACAAAGAACAACAACAAAAATAGGGGAACAAATAAGGAAAAACATCCCCACATCCATACAATATATATGCAGTGATCTCTCAAAAACAAAAAATGCTTCCGTTCCACACCTGAACCTTATTTGCAAAGATTTTCAATTGCTGCATGTTGTATTTGTCCATTTGAAAAGAAAATTACTATGTTTTCCAACAAAATTGGATACAATTGCAATACGCATGCAGTAAAAGTTGCGAGTTTCTAATCTCTAATCGATCACTGTATATGTCCTACATAAATAAACTAAGCATTCTTTAAGTGCAACATTTGTTACTGCAATAGCAACTAGTTGCAGATAGTGTTCAGATTATTCAGTTGAAATTACTATTGTTAAATGAACAAATACGAATCTTTGCGTAAACAGCTCGACATGGTTTCCATGCCCCATCAAATATGCTACATACAACAAAGCCGCAACATTATGTAAAGCTAAGCAAGCATTATACAAATATATATATATATATATATATATAAATACTAGATTATGTGAAATGCGATTCCAAATAAGCTAGAAAATGAAATGAAAAACAAAAAGTGAAATTTTTATTCAATTTTGTTGCTGTGTGTGTGTGTGTTTCTATATAGTGTACTTGTACTATAGATATATGTATATATATATTCACACACAATCGTCGAGTGTGTCGAGTGTGTGTATTTAATGTTGTAACTCTGTTGCCTTCGTGCTCTATGCAGCCTTTTTCAAATTGTAGCTAACAAACATACAAATTATCTAACATATATATATAATATATATATATATACAATTATATATATATTATATATATATATATATATATATATGCGCATATGCATACATATATCTAACTGATGGCTAGCAGCAAAGCTAATTATCGCAATGTTAACAGAATTGTTGCCTAGTTTACGAACGCTGACAAAGTGAAATCTACTTTATTTTAACAATATATATATATATATTTTCTTTTTTTTTATATGCCTATATATTTACATACATATATATATATATATATAAATAAATATAAATATATTACTATGCTATTCATATATGTATGTACATATTGCCTTTTAGCACTTAGCCCAAAGGAGGAGAAATCCTTAAGCTTGCTTTCTTGGTCATTATTATTTGGTTTGCCTAGGAAATGAGGGAGTTCAAAACACAATATGATTATGAAGCAATATGCAAGTAAAGTTATAATAATAATGAACAATCGTAAGACTATTGTAAACCAGCCAGTTAGCAGTTGAACCTATACTACTATACTATATAAAGGAGCCTAGCTCCGATCTAAAACAATTTTACATCAGCCACACTGGGCCGGCACCTGATAATAATAATTATAATCCGTTAATAAAAATGTTTCCTACGCCAACTTTTCAGCTCCCCCCATTTTACTACAGTTCAGAATAATCTAAAGATACAAATAATAATATAAAAATAACGGAAAAAGCAATTTTTTTTTTGTTTTTCAGATTTTCGGCTTTCGTTAAATTAAATGTATACATCTTTTTATATATATCATAAGTGATTCAAGTTTCAAATCTCATGCGCATGCAAACTTTATAAACAATAAATATTTGTCTATTTACCAATACCATGCGCAATTATTGTTAAAATTAAAAACTATAAATAATATATATTGTATGCTTTCCAAACCTATGCAAAATGAACAAAAATCTATTAAAATAAATGCAATGTTTTAAACAAAAAAATATTGTTTTACATTGGGAATATGATATTTGAATAAAGTATCTATAGATCTGTGTAGTATCTATAGATACTTATTAGTTGATCAGCTACTCACAGTTTAATGATACTACTTACATATTTTAGTTGCCAAAATACTTTTCACAATAAATGAGTGTTTAGATGAAGTTAACTTGAAAATATTCATTTGGATACAACTGCTAAATATATATAAATATTTTTAGCAATTGATTTTAGTCGCAAGTAAAACAACAATGGAATTCTTTGAATTTTTATTTATCTTGTTTATTCACGCTTGTTCTGGTTGCCTGCTCCGCTTTGGGTTTCTTTTTTTTTGGGACACACGCACAGGGAACCAGCAGCAGGCAGCAGCGTTGCAATCTTCCATCTTGTTCTACGCTCCTTACTCACACTCATACACACACACACCCACACACACACACGCCATCCATCCAATTCCAATCTTATATAACTGTTGACAGGTTTTATAATTTATCCGTTTGCAACGGCTGCTGCTGGTGGCTTTTGAAAGATAGTTTTTTTGTTGTTGTTGTTTGGTTTTGTTTTCGGTTTGTGTTCATTTTACAATTTAAGATTGCTAAGTTGTAGGTTATCCGGGGAACATAAGATGACATAAATGGGCGTGGCATGCATACATACACAAGTGGGCGTAGGCACACACACATAAATACATATTAATATCGATGCCAACACAGCCGCACAAATATTCATCATGTGCTTTATGGATACTCGTGTTTTTCATTTCATTTCTTTTTTTTTGTTGTTTTTGTTTCTGTTTTTGTTATTTTTTGTTTTTGTTTTTGTTTTTGCTTTTGTTTTTGTTTTGCTAGGACTTGCACAATTAAAAAAGCTCAATTTTATGCTTATAATATAAACAATTAAGTTTTAGTTTGCTAGGTTAGTTTTGCACAGCTGCACTTAAAAATTGGTTAGGTTAGGATTAGGTCTTTGAGGTTAACTTTAACGGATGAAATTGAACTGAGTTGGGGGCCATGAGAGAGGAGCGCTTGTGGTGGTGGTGGTGCATCTGCATGAAGAAGAGAAGAGATTGCTGATTGAACTGCTTGCTTGCTTGCTGACCGCGTTTCTTGTAAGCAGTTCGAAATGACATTCAAGATTTGTAAGTGCTTACGTTTCATGTTTTGAATAGAAAGTCTATGAGTAATATAATTTTATGTATATTGTTTTTGGCTTTGAATGAGCAATGCATAAATGTTTTGTATTGATAATGGATATATATATATATATATATATATATATATATGTATGTATGTATGTATGTATGTATATCTGGGTAGGCATTGTTTTATGATAAGTATGACATGGCATTGCCTCGTTCTGCATAGTGTTCGTTAAGTTATTCTTTGTTCATTTTCATATTTTCATAAATTGTTTTGATTTTCCACTTAATTTCATATAAAACTAGTTTTTTTTTTGTTTTTTTTTCTTCTTTTTTTTTGTATTATATATATATGTATATATTTGTGTATGTATATGCAGGTTTTAGTATATATATATATAGATATATATATATAGAGATATATGTATATGTTTAGGTATGTCTAGGGATGATTTTCAATCACTTATTGTTACGTACGGTGTTTGGTATAACATGCTTTGCTTGGACTGACGAACGCTTTCATTTATTTATGTTATTCACTTTAGCCTCTCTCAATAGCATGTAAAGCGTTTTCTGTGTGTTTGTGTGTGTGTGTCTGTGTGTGTCTGTGTGTGTGATTGAGTGTTACAGCAAGCAACGGATTCTCTGCATCCAAACATTAGGCTCTCAATCTCCAAAACGGACGGAGTGACAAATGAGCTAATCTCACATTTGTTTGCTTTCTTTTTCGACAACGGAAAATGAGAGAAAGATGGGGAAAAGCTTTCTACGACTTGCCGTTTTCTTGCTGTGTGTGTGTGTGTGTGTGTGTGTGTAAAGTCGTCGCTATTTCTTTTGGCCTGTTTTTCTCGTGTGCCTGTCAAAGTTATCAAGGTGTGTTTCACATGCCGTCAAACTGAATTTGATTTCTTTTGGTTTTAGATATTCTTGAAATGTGGATGTTAAATATTTGACATGAAGTTATGTTACTTAATTGCAGAGTTGCCTACTTGAAAGCAAAAAACAGTTAGTTGCAAGCTTTTAAGCACACAATTTACAAACATTTTTGTTTTTTTTTTCTCTTTTCTTTTTTCTTTTTTTTTTTTTGATTAAAAGGATATTAGACTGCGTAACATAAAGTTTGACAGGCACATGAAGCAACCTGCCTTCGAGTAGTGCATAAGGTTATAATTTTGTTTTTTGTAGCTTTTGAATTACTTTTGCCATTTTCCTTGGTTGCGTATAACCTTAACACATTAGTAAGCTAACGTTAAGGTATATTTGTATAAAGGTAGTATGTATGAATGTATGTATGTAAATAGTATGCATGTATGTAGGCATGTATGTAAATAGTATGCATGTATGTAGGCATGTATGTATTATGTATGCTTGGATGTATAACTTGACTTCGTAAGCCTTTCGCTGTCTATGCGAATTTGTGTGTGGGCTAATGCAGTTTTGATAATGCCATTATTATGCAGTTATATGTATGTATAGTATGTATGTATGTGTGTATTATTGTATGTATGTATGTATATAGAGAGCCACATACATATACACATACACATATGGATGCAGTTGCATTAGTTGCAATTACAGTTGCCGTTAATGAATGATGAAGTTGTAGTTTCTGTTTGATTTTGCTTATAGTGTTAGCTGCTATATCCTCGCCTAGTGGCTTTTGCTTTTGCTTTGTGGGTTAACTTTAGTTGTAGTGACTAAGGCTGGCAAATCGCTTCATGTGCTTAAAGTTTCTTATACCAATACAGATAGTGTTCACCATCCTCGACCATTAGCTCATCCACACCTGCAAAATGCAATCTGATTAGTATAGTCTATATATATATATATATATTTATACAGGTTAATAAAATTGCATGTGGCTTAACTGACCAACAGGCGCAATAAGCTGATTCCCAGGCGTATTGTTCGGATCAGGTAACTCGGGCAATCTGTACAGCAGCCAGTAGTGGTATCTATAGCGGGGATTGTTTTGTATATAGGCAGTTTCCAATTTGATATTTGTGGTTAGACTTACCCCCGCGGCTCTTCCTTCTTGCCATAGAGGGTGTGGACGTAGTGTCCGTTGGGCCACTCGCGCGCCTCGAAAATGAATCTATAAATGGCACCAATATTAGTTTCCTCATTCATTAAATATCCTACTGATCTAACTGAATATGCTTCTGGGTTAAAAATAAAGTTAAAGTATTATTGACCTTGGATCCATATCGGCGGCCTGAGTCATTGCCTTGAAGAAGCTCGTGTTCTTGGGGGATATCAGAGAGAGGGAGAAGGCTTCGGTCACATTGGAGCCCACCCACAAGGTATACGTGTATGAGATGTTCTTCGAATCCGACTCCTCAGCCGAGGAGCTAAGCCCGAACGGCAATGCCAGCTTTGGTTCACCATTCTCTGCATAAGCGGAGCAGAACACGTTATTAAACGGAAAGTGGAAGAAGTGTTTCTTTTACCTGTGGGATCGCTGCTCTCGCGGATGACATGATCACACTGAAGGGCACGGACAGCGCCCAGACCCTTCCAGCCTAGGGCCAGAATGATGTCGGCTGTGAGACCGACACCAATATCCGGCTCCTGGCCATCCTGCAATGGCTCCTCGCTCCAGCCGCCATCGGCACGCTGCCGACTCAATATATAACGTGATGCGGCTGTGCGATTCCAATGGCCAGCCGGATCATATTCGAGATCCTGCAACGCCTGCATGGCAAGCGCCGTGCTGCGCAACGAACCAAAGCTGCCACGCTGATCCTGGAGGCTGGCCAGGCCGCGGGCCGGTCGTCGCACAAAGTGCTGCAGATGCCGATGGCGATGGTCGGTGACGATGCAGCGCAGCGCCAATATGACCATGGCAATGGCATCCACACTCTGATCCGTCACACCGCTGGCGATGTCGAGGAGTCGCCGGATCTGGCGCTTGCGCACATGCGCTGCCGAGCTGCACGCGGACAGCGTGGTCAAAGCGAACTCAATGTCCTGGGCGGGCTCATGATGTTGCAGCGTCGCAACCAGATCGTGTCCATGGAAATGCTTTGGATCCTTGCACAGCGAACCCAGCGCAAGCACATAGCGCGCCAGCTTGTCCAGATTGAGGGGACGGGGCAGCGTATGATGGCGATCGAGCATCGCCAGTATTTCAATCTCCATCTCCTTGACGGAGAGCGTATCCTCCAGCTCCTGAATGACCAGCATATGCGCATCGGCGCTCTCATTGGGATCCCGCCCGCCTGACAACTCCTTGGCCAGGATGACGACATGGGTGTCGTTGCCCCAGCCATAGTCCAAGGCGCGCTTCTCCTTCAGCCAGTCCAGTGCCCGCAATATCGAATCCTGTTCGTTCTTCGTCGGTGTCGCCGAGCCAATTATCTCGTGCGGCGGTGGAGACGGCGATGCGGTTGCTGGTGCACCCTCTGCTGCAGCACTGCTGCTGCTGCTGCTGCTGCTGCTGGAGGTGGTCGTGTTGCCTGTGGGCGGCAACGCTGCAACGGCAACGCCAACATTCGCTGTGGTTTCCGGCTGCTGCTCAATGGACGCCAAAGTTGCTGCTGCGCTGCTGCTGCTGCTGCTGGTTGTCGTTGTTGATGTTGTTGCCGTTGCTGTTGTTGTCGTTGTTGATGCGGCCAGTGCTGCATTACTATTGCTGTTGTTGCTGTTGTTGTTGTTGGTTTGCTCATAAATGGCATCGTTGTTGTTGTTGCTGTTGTTGGTATTTTCATAATCCTTGGCCAGCGGCAATTGTGGAGGCGCAGCTGTGCTTAAGCCAGCGCCGCCCGCCTCACCAACGGCCGTTGACGTCAGCGTCACATTCTCAGTCAGCGCCAGCGCCGGCAGCGAGATGAACAGTAACAGAAGCGGCAGTGAAATCATCTTTGCTGTTCCTATTCCGATTATGCTGCTCAGTCAGCTGGAAGGGAGAGAGAGAAGGAGAGAGAGAGAGATGAGGACAAACGGCGAAAGTCAATGGCTGGCAATAAGCAGAAGAATGTTACAGTCGAAATTAGCCGACTATATCATACTCTGCTTAACACAAAACTGTAGAAGGGAAAAGTACATTATCGAAATTCTAGTGATAAGCGGTAAAACTCATACTTGATCTGTGATCATTTGATCGCTATATATATAATATAATAAATATATATACATAAATATGTGCAAGGACATTGCACAAACCGAATATACTCATTCGACCCTTATAAGGGCACAGTGTGTACAAAAAAGAAAGGAGTAGAATGGTAGGCAGTACGGTGGGGGAGGGGGGGGGTCAATGGCGGCAATGGAGGCGTTGCCTTGAACTGAATTTTCTGCGCACACATCCACAATCAAAAAAAAAAACACGCAAATGCAATATTGCAAATTACATTTTGCCAACGTCACGCTTTTATCGATAATTAAGACATCAGATCGATAAGCAGCCCTGTAGGCCTCCCCCCCTCCCAGAATAACTGTCAATTAGTCATGCACAAAAACAAAAGGAAAAAAACATACACACCAAGTTGCCAAGCAGCAAAAGCAGACTACATTAACCACACACACACACACACATGCACACAATCTGTGTGTGTGTGTGTTTCGGGCGCTTCTGAAACAATAAAAGTTAATTAAGTGACAGCAGAAAGTGTCGAGCTGTCGCTTACATAAGGCAAAACAAAAAAAAAGAAAATGAGAAATATGCTGCAGCAGTAGCAAAACAAAATTTTTCATTAAATTAATGCACACAAAGCAGCAGCAGCAGCAGCATGAGGAAGGAGCAGCGGGAAAAGCTCTACTCTAAAGCTTTGCAATGGCAGTAACAGCAACAATGGCGCCCGCCAGCTGTAGTTGTTGTTGTTGGTGCTGTCGCTTAATTAACTGCACTTTTTAAACACTATCGTTCTCTTTTACCCTACCATACACACACAGACAGGCGCTTCTTGCTCAACTTTAACTTTATTATGCTGCGCTGCGCTGATATGCTGCTGACTGCGCTGCTTTAGCTGTGCTGCTCTTGTTTGTTGTTGCTTTTGCTGATGACGCTGTCACCTCGTTTGCTTACCTGCGCCGTCGTCTTCGCTTCGCTTCCTTTCTTTTACTTTTCTGTGTGTCGTCTATTAATCGCTGTTCTTCTTGTTGTTGTTGTTGTTGCTGTTGTTATTGCCGTTGTTTTGTCTTGTCTCTGCTGCTGCTGCTACTCCTGTTGTCTATTGATTTTTTTTGTATGCCTAGAAAGCAATCGGCGACTAGGCGACGTTTGTTTAACTGGTTGCAAGTATTAGTTATTGTTGTTCTTGTTCGTTGTTCGTTGCTCGTTGTTCGTTCTTCGCACAATCAATAAATGATGAGTGACTAATTTAGTTGTAGTTGTTTCCCTTTTTCGCTCTTCCTTTGCTTTATTTTTTTTATGTAATCGCGCGCACACATCAGGACATCACTAGGAATAGTGTCAGTGTGTGTCTGTGTGTATGTGTATGTGTATGTGTAGTGGACTGGGGCGGGGTTGAATGAGGGGGTGGAGGGGAAGTGGGGGCGTGATTGGTGTGATGTGTGTGCTATAATTGCTAATAATGCTCTGAATTAAGAGTACTTTGTGCCGTTAGCAGCATATCGGCTGCAACACACACACTCACGCACGCACACGCACACGAACAAGTGCTTTGACTGACTCACACAGCTGTTTGTTTGCTGCAAAAAGTAACGGAAAAAAAAGCTGCGGCTTTAATTGCAACAATTGCTTTCGTTGTTGTTGTTGCTGTTGTTGTAGCTCGTAGCTGACATAGCTGCTTTCCTGATTCTTTGTGCCTTTTTAATATTTTTTCTAATGTCGTCGTTGTTGTTTCTGTTTTTGTAGTTGGTGTTGGTGTTCCTGTCGTTGTTGTTGTTGGGTGTTGTGCCAAAATTGCCTGTGCTGAGAGTTCTTTTAATCAAGTTGTTGTGGCGGTTGCCGTCCGCTCTCGACTGACTGAATATCGCCTGGCACTACACGCACTGCTCGAAAGCATGTCTGTGCGTGCGATGCTGCCACTGGCCACCACAAAGGAATGCGCAGGATATGCACCCAGTCTGGCAACATTCATGCGCGGTATTTTTCGAAGCCATTTCTTGCACCGCTTAGCCAAGTTGCAAGTATGTGTCCTGGCTGTAAGCGTTCGTTAAGTGAGCAACAAGTTGCGTGCAAACGGTGAGAGTCCTGGCTAAAGCTTGACACACAAAAACAGGGCTGTTATGCAAGTGTTCAAGTGCAAGCGCGCGCAAAAAAAAAGCGCTTGTTTTTTTTTGTCTTTATATTTATTTACTTTAATTAAATAGTAATAGTTTGTTTAAATCTTGCTAAATATATATGTGCTTAGATGAATTGCGCTGTTTGGAGCCATTGGCCAGCCTGCCCCTTAATCGCCCAGGCCGTTGCCTCAACTGCTGCCTGCTGCCAGTTTCTCTGTCTGTAATTTGATATAGTTTTGTGCTGTCCGCCGACAATCAACATCAACATCAAAAAAAAACAAGCAAAAAAAAAATATATATATATATATATATATAATAATAAAGAAAATGTGCCGCCAAAACCGCCGCAATTGAGGCCGTCAACGTTTTGTTGCTGTTTAGTTTGAATCTGATTTTTGGCTGAGATTCTTTCGAGTGGAGAGGGAGCGGGGAGCGGGGAGCGGGGAGAGTAGCTGGCTGATTGCCTATCGTTTTCGGCGAGCAATTAAAAGAACAAGCGGGCATATCGCTTACCACGACAACAACTGAAATCTATATGCAGTCTGTGGCAGGAGGCAGCGGGGCAGCGGGGCATGCAACGTCCGAAGCAGCAAAACAAAAGGCAAAGGGAAGTTCAACTTTGCTGCTGCTGCTGATGATGAAGCTGGCTCTCTTGCTCAGTTCCTTTGTGCAGTTATGACAGGCGTCCCCCTCACAGACATATATATATATATATATATATATATATGTGCTTGGTATATATCGGTGTACTTCAAAGGATCCGTTTATGGTTAAGCTTTTGCTTGGCAGCTGCTGGCCAGATCCTGCTGCACCTTGCGGCGACAATCGGCGACAAACAAATGATCCTAGCGTAATCCTAGACTCGAAACTCTTTTAACTGGCAGCTGGCAACTTGGCTTCGCCACTTGATGTCGCTATCTTAAGCGGCAGGCAGCGAGAGAGAAAGATCCTGCGATACAAGGACTCCAGCAGCATTTGTCGATTGTTTGTTTCCGTTGCTGATGCTGCTGCTGCTGCCGCTGCTGCTGCTGAGCTACTCAAAAGGATGCCTCGCTGTGTATCCCTCTCTGCGCCGTGGGTGCTGCATGCAACCTTTTGCTGCGCAATATTTGGCAAGCCAATTATCTCTGTTGTTGTTGTTGCTGTTGCTGTTGTTGTTGCTGTTGTTGTTGTTTGTTTAGCCGGCGCTATTTATTCAAGCCTTGAGCATTGCGGACAATAGAGGCATACAGCCTTGAGCTATTATCCTGCCAGATCGTTGCGTCTCCTGCGACTGCTACTGCTCCTGCTCCTGGCTATCGGCTCTCTTCTCTCGGCTTATTCACGTTTTGCATTCTATTTCTGCTTCTATTTCTGCTTCTGCTTCTATTTTATTTCCCTTTTGCGTAATCGAAACAATTGTCTATTTATCTTCATGTTGTTGCTGTTGTTGCTTAGGGCGCAGCAGCAGCAGCAGCAGCAGATGATGATGAGATCAATCTGCCTGATAAAAAACACAGACAACACACCAAAAACAAAACAAAACAAACCGATTCGAAACGAATCGAATCGAATCGAATCCATAACAATGCAAAAGAATCTAAAAAGTGCACCGAACTGCGCCCTGATTACGATTACAATTGTCAGCATTCAATTGCCAACTGTTGGTGTTGCCTGAAATTTAAAATATATATAAAATATGTATATACATATATAGATATATATATATATACACATTATTTACTCTTGCAACAGACGGAAATCTCTTCGAGAACCATTCGAATTGTGTGGCCTAAAAACAGTTCAAAATTTTCAAAAATTCAAGTTACAAATCAAAAGAAGAAATTCAATAAAAAAAATGAAACTGAAAGTTAAGGAAAAATCAGCAAAGTAAATTAAATAAATTGAGTTAAGTCGATGGAATTGCTAAATAATTTTTAACACTTAAGTTACAAATTCTGAAGAAAGATAAAAAACAATGGAATAGATTGAAGAATATAATAAATATATTATATTATGATTATTAATGTATATTAGTAATAAGAAAAATAACAATGTTAAGCAAGCAAAGAGAGAGAGAGAGAGAGAGTGAGAGAGAGAGAGAGAGAGAGAGAGAGAGAGAGACAGCGGGAGAGACAAAAAGTGAGACACAGAAAATAAGGAAAATATGGCAAATCTTTGAATCTGGAGTTAGAAAAGCTTACCATCCATTAACATATATATTTATATATATATGGAGAGATATATACATATGTACACATTTGCAATTATTTTTATTTCGAGAGATTCCAAGAACAATCTTTTAGAAATTCTCAATAGCTCTGAAAGCCAAAGGACTTGCTAAAGTTTGATTTCCTTGGAAATGGCAATCTTGTTTCTCAAAACTGTCTGCTTGAAACTTGATTTTCAATATTTTTGAAGAACAGTTTAATTTAATATTCATTTTTGGTCTTAAAAAAAAAACACTTCTAATAACTTCGAAGCAGATATAATAATTCGATTTTGTGTGCTTTAAAGATATTTTCCCATTTGTGGAAGTGGCATCTTTTTGGGTTTTTTTTTTTATGCTGAAGCACAGCAAAAATGGTTGGGTAATTTTTGCAGTTGCCAAACTGCTCAAGTGTCCTTTATAGTTATTGAGAAAGGAAGAAATAGCATTTACTGCTCAATAGCTAAATACGGGTCGCTCAACAGTTTGGCTGGCTGTTGGGCGAATGACAAGCACAAGGACAACAAATACAAAGGATTTCGTTGGAATATTAGAAAGGACTGTCAGCTGAGGCAGGTGAAGGAGGTGCATAGCGGGCCCAAATGACAAATGGCCGCAGATCAACAAATAAGGAAACGAGCAAACAAAAATGCTGAGGGGGGTGGCAGGGCTAGGAGCAGACATGTGTCAGGTGTGCTCGGGCGAGTATATAGGCAAGTACATAAACGCTTTACATAAGCCCCAAGAGTACATAGAATAAAGCACAAAAACAAAACAACGACAACAAAACAGAAGAAAAAATGAAGAAACATAGGAAGCTGAGGATACAAGGACGAACAGCAAGGCAGACTGAGCAAAGTGCGCGCAACAACACCCAACACCTAAGAGCACAGGCCTGCACGGACTGGCGCGACAGACAGAGAGACAGACAGAGAGACAGACAGACGGACAGGGAGGACAGAAGAAGCCAAAGGACGCGCCAGTGAGTGGTGCCAAATGCTCCTTTGCCTTGCTGCCTCCCTGCCAGTTGTCTGTCTGTCTGTCTGTCTGTCTGTCTGCCTGTCTATCTGTCTGTCTGTCTGTTTGTCTGTCTGTTTGTCTGTCTGACTGGCTGACTGAGTGCCTGGGTGCCAGGCAAAAGCATAGCCAAATTGAGCTAAAGCCAAATGAAGCAACGTTGACGACAGACGCAGAAAGCTGAAAACAGCAAACAGACACAAGGGTAGCTGCAGGCTCTCAATATCATCCCCCCACTCCACCCCACCCCACCTCCCCCGACCATCGGAAAACTGCCTCTCTGACGTATGTATGTACGTTTCGAGGAGGCAGGCAAAGAGGGGGTTGCTCGCCGGGTTGGTCGACACATAAGGGCGGATTTTGGGCTCTGTCTGGCGCTGGCTCGCCATGAAAGGCAAGTAAAGCGCTATAAGAGCAAATATGGCTGCCAACACCCGAATCCGACACGTAAAGTGACGCGTTAGCTGCGTTGCTATGACAACCCTGGTCTGGTCTGGCCTGGCCTGGCCTGGTCTGGTCCCAACTACAGATTCCAAGCCACACACACACACACACCAGCTAGCCAACACGAAAAAAAGAAGAAACTTTTGGTTTCGTTTTTTTTTTTGTTTTTTTTTTGGTCCAATCTTCCTTTTTTTTCCGTGCCTTTGGGGATTTGTCGTCCGGTCGTATATAAAGTTGGATGCGTGGGGGCAGCAAAGGTAGCTTTATCTATCGGTCATCAAAAGTGGATACACGGTGGCCATCATTGGCTTGCATTTAATGAGATTTTCCCTCGCATTTTCGCTCGCTTTTCACTTGCTTCTTTTTTGTTTTTCGTCTTTTTTTTCATGTGGCTCCCTTTTTGCGAGTTTTTTTTTTATTATCTTATTTGCTCGCTGTCAGTCGCTTTTTAAAGCGCAGTCAATACTGCGACAGACACTGGTTGTCCAAAGTGGGTGTACAGCCAGCCCTTCACATTGGGGCACATTTGAGAATTGCATAGAAAGGCGATAGACATAAGATTTGAGCTTGAGTTAATTGGTTGTTCGATGAAATTCATTTCAAATGATGCTAAGATGAATAGATACATGACTAAATATACATATAGATAGATAGATAGACAGATAGATAAATAGATAGATAGAGAGAAAATATTAATAGTTGGATTCATTGAGAGACGGTTGAGTCAAGACAAAAACGAATAGAAACATATAGCAAGATATTTGTTAGAAGTAAGAAGAATAGATAAATAGTTGGAATAATGATGATAAAACAAATAATGGGCTTATAAATATATGAATAAGTATCAACAAAAAAAAAATTGATTTATTAGTACATATGTAGAAACAGAGATACAAAAAGAGCTGAATATGGGCATCTATCTCGGAAGCCAGCGTCGGAAATTTGGTGTTTGTTGAAACAACAATGGACAAGAATGTGTATCTCAATATATTAAAGGAACATTTACTCCAAAGTGCCGAGAAGCTAGGAATCCGAAAATAAGTTCCGGAATCACAGATCCGATCTCAAAAATGCTCTGCTGGATGAGTGGAGCAAAATCAGTCCAGAAACTACCCGGAAGCTGGTATCTTCCATGAA